CTAACCTTTGCGGAGAAAGACCTCTTTATATGTGCAGAATAATAACCCGCCAGATTTACCAAACAAGTGATATCAATATCTTTTGCATTATTCATTTACTGGAGTCATTATTTCTCAAGCCGACTAAAAGCAGTGTTCTACATTGTCGCAGTTTGGCATAATGCCTTATTACCACCGGCTTCGGAAAATACGCATAAACTATATTAGCTGCCGCGCGTATCCTTAATTAAAATTTCGCTGTAATACATTTTCTGCTTGGCGCTACTTTAATTATTTTTCTATAATGTCTTATAAGGCTTTCATTAAGTTCATTGGCGATAAAGTGATCCACACTTTTAAGTCTTAACGAAATTTAAGTGTGACCTTTCGGTTTCTGTCTATTTGTAATCCGCCTTGACACAGTTTTCACTGTGTGGCAGTACGTCAATGTCTTGTGGATTTCCGCCGTAACCACGCGCAAGGTTCCTGATTTTTTGGTTGCTCCAACTTGCCTCGCCATCGGAATATCTGGATCATAATCGACTTACCCACCTGTTTGTGTTGTGTTTTTCTACTCTTGGGGGTTTGGAGGTTGTTCCCGCTTCGCGGGCGTGTTGTCAGTAATCAATAAATCACCCCCCTTTTCGATATGGCATTATTTGTGTGTTGTGTACGGTAAGAGAACCAGGGAACAATAATGATAGATCGATAATGCGCTGGAAAATACATGCTGGCGATATACGCATGGGGATAACTGTACGCCTGTAGCCAGCGATAACATGTTCGGGATCGATGCCGGCCAAGCTATTGATGCAGGAGTAATATCGGTTTGGCCGCTGCAACGCGTTCGCTTTCTTCCCTGTCACGCTTAAACGCCGTTAAATACATAAATATAGTTACTATGCAAGATCGGCGTTTGGAATGTGCATTGTGCATTTGCCGATTTTTTATCGGACTAGAACTTGATCCCTAAGAACAGGAAACGGATCCGGTAATCCGTGATGGAGGATTTCTTGTTCCCACGGATATGCACAACACCGCTGGTAACGGGAGTTTATAGCCAATTCCTTGTCGATGTTGTGGATGATGATGAGCCAACATACCGAGGATACATCTGCGGAGTGGAAAATGATCAGTTTTGGGTGCAAATCGGCTGTATGCAACAACAGCGGCGGCTGGTATCCATGGAGAAGCTGCGAATGATGTTCGTATCCTCCAATATCAAGCCCACTGAAGCTGCCGAAGGAGTCGACCTCCTGATCAGCGTTGACAAGGACCATCCGGAGTCATGGCAGCCAGCACGTATCACTGATGGGTTTTGGTGCGAAGACTTTTCGCTAGTAAATGTAAACATTACCCTGCCTGATAACACCGTCAAATGTTATTCCGTGTTCGACGGTGTCGGTGCCATTCGAAAGCGTATCCGGCGGCGCGGACAACTGGGGTCGCCTGTTACCAAGCAGTCCTTTCGCCACGTTCTACTTCCTCTGGCTATGTTCACTCATGCCATTCCCAATATTGCCGATGTACTGGGCCGCATACAGGACATGCCAAAACTCCGCAGTTATTTCCTTTGTACTACTGGTAGCGTTCGGAAGGAAATAATGTTTCTCGGGGTCGTCAACAAGTGCGTTGCCGTGCTGATTGAGCTAGGTCGGCGCCTAGTCCCGACGAATGAGGATATTTTCAAAACGCGTGGTCCTCGCCATTACGCAGTTTACTGCCTCAGTCCCTACGGTGAACCAAACGGCGCTCAGAATATTGGACGAGATGTTAAGCGTTATTGTGGCAGTGGATGGTAAGGCAACATACCGACAGAATCTGTTTTTCTTCGGCATTGTCTTGCAGGTTGCTTTTAATTGCAGTTGCCTAATGTTACCGAATTTCAAGAAAAACCCACTGGATGGCTGACAACATGAATTGCGGTTTAAAACAATTAAACCCATTTATGCATTTTCCATAAGATGTATAATGTATAATGCATTTTAGTGCATTTTAGAAAATAACTGTTTTATGGTACTTCTACATAGGTATATGTGACAAACACCGACATATAGCGTACACATTATTTGGCTACTGGATGCAATAAAACGATTTTAGGGTGTGTGAGAGCGCGCGAAGATGCAAATTTTAGTGGATGTGCAGAAATACTCGTACGAGTAAATCTTCAACACTGAATTCTTCGCTTTTTCTCATATTCCGGCCACTTTAACTACACAGTTTCATATTCCGGTCACCAGGCAGCAAAATGTCCTAACAAAAAACAATTCACAGAAATGGTTAGTTTTCATAAAAACGACCTCTCTCATTAAATTTGAAGAGTAGACATCAATAAATTTACTAACAAAACAAAACAAATACAGTAACAGATACTCTAAACCGGGTGAGACGCAAAAGACCGGTGACCGGAATATGAAACCATTCACTCAAAGTGACCGGAATACGAGAAATAGCGAAGTACATATCGTGTTACGTTTTACTTTCTAGACATGGACAAGCCCAGTGAATTGCGCTTAAATGACCTGTACGTAGATTTGAATCTTGTTGAATTTTCCTATTTGGATGTCTTCGAGCAACACCAGGCCAACTATGTAGCTACATTTAGATACAGTAACTTGCCAGTTTTATGCTCCGTGAGCCGCAATTCCGAACAGCCCACGCAAGCGGCAACCGTAGTAGTCGCTACGGAAGCTCTCGCTATGCTCCGTCGCTAAAGCGCTCGTTTCACAAACATCAATGAAGATTGAAGTTATGACTCGCGAACAGCTTGGAGGTTCTCCCAACTTATCCAATGGAGAAGTTTTAGTGACTGTCATTTATCGTTCTAAGGCAGTATTATTGCTAAGGCCAGACTTGTGAGTTATGACCATGACCCTCGTTTGGGCGTGGAGCGCTTGGCATAACATTCCCGCTAGCGGCAGCGACCAAAAATGTGCCAGTGTGGTCGCAGCAGTGTGGTCGCAGCAGTGTAGTCGCAGTGGTGCAGGCCGTATGGCGTGACTCGTGATTGGTGACCAACGAGTTATGTTACGAGAGATGCGAGAAGTCTGCGTTTAACATGGTCGAATCCGGGTGGCGAGACAATCGTGCGAGTTTGCAATTTTACCTGCTTCCGTTTACCGATAACCCCACTTGTAAATATACTAGCGGGAATGTTATCCAGTAGACCGGTACCGCTTCTCTTTTGTGCTACTGACGAAAAGTGTGCAACAGAGTCAGAGAAATAAGTTTGTGTGCTGCATTACTGTACTTGCGTACATATTTATGATTACGCATATGACTGGCTGCTACAGTATCACCGCAATGGCAAACTTATTCCTTTCTACTGCTTCTTTGGTTTCCTGTGACCTAGCATAATTAGCAGCGGATTGTTTCCTTGCAGGACGTGTAGGCACTTTCATAATTTATTAAGTTCTGCTACAATTCAGCAGTGTCTGATCGTACCACGCCAGTCTATCGATAATCTCGAAAACCTGGAATTATATTCGCTGGCGTGTATCTTCAGAGATCACCATATTGTTACTCAAGTGCTATGCAGCATTTTAACGAAGAACACAAGAACTATTTATCTCATTGGCGATTGGGAGAATTGTCTGCGCGCACTGGTACCGCTTCTGCAGTTCTTGCACGTGGAACTGGAATGGCTGATCATTACCGACAATTCGCTGCTATTGTTCAACGAATTTTTGGAATTCCCTGAACACTGGCCGATGTTGCACACCGATGATGGTTTTACTACATTCCGAGGAACTTATCGGCCGGCTCCTGATTATGCCGCAGTGTGCCACCATCTACTGCTGAAGAACTGTTCTTTTTATAGCAAATCCTCGATATGTTTGGCGTCGATATCGTTTATAACTGAATTCCAACAGATTACAGACATGACCCTCGGCTCGCGTTCACGCCTCGCCTGTTGTCACGACCCCTTCCGTGTTGTCATTCCGCAGTGGCCATACAGCTTCGCGGAAGCCTCGAAGTCCACATTAGCAGCCTCCTTCCAGTCAGCGCTTGAACAGTTTTGTTCGGAACTTCCAGACAGCAAAGTCCAGGATCTGTTAACCTGGATGAATTCTCTCACAGAAAACGATTTACAGGGGAGATCATGTATTTGGCCATTTATCCCGCTGTGCTATGAACTGTACGTGCGACAGATGCATAGACACTTCTGTATTGTATCAGGCTTAATTTAAAAATGTGAACAAATTCTTGTGTAGGTGGAGCAGCAAAAAGCCAGAGAACTTCGAAGATGTTAAAAAAGATGTTGCAATTAGGCTTCCGCGAAAGTGTATGATTATGCAGATGCTCGCCTTGCTATTACCGTTGTCGGATCCGCTGGAATCACCTTCTAGTTAAAAACACCTCCGTCATCGGTGAAATTCTGGAATAAGAAATTGCCTACATAGCCACGTTGCTACATTCCTTTTAAGTTAATTTTTCCATGAGATTTCAAAAGTGCATCGCTTTTTGCATGCGAACTTCTCCTAAGTGTTTAATGTGAGGAATGTGGCACCAGCTATTAAACAGTGGGTAATCAACTTTCTGGATGGTTTTTGGGAAGACCCTTAACTGCGTTTTTATTGGGATGGTGGCTATTACGCAGACGTATGTACGACAAGCTTGTCAAAAAGCTTTTTAACAACCTCCAAATAAATACGTCGGAGCTTTGATTGCGCTGGTGCACCAGAATTATAGTTCAAGCCGATCCAGACCTGTTGCAGTTACCAGCTTTTACTGCTTGTCAATAATCTTACCTTCCCGGTGGCAGTTGCCAGTGGTCGTGTCACTGCCACCATCTAGATTAAGGTAAAAACCAAGTTGCAAAGGTACAAAATTTAGGACAGCACAATTAATTACAAACGTTCCTGAGGATCGGGAACACTTATAAGGAACAATGTGGAATAAAGATGAGGAGCAACATTATGAAAACTGCAAAAACCAGTACAACTGGTTACAAACAGCACGGGTGTGGTTACGTGGGAGCGTTGAAAATGCAATGTTTTGTCAGTTTCCATGGCACGCCGCTACTCCAGCTGATACCAGCGTCGTACGCCATCCAGATTGACCGGATCTAATTATATAAGAACATATCTTAATGCTTACTTTGTTTATTTTATGTATGCCCGCTTTGCATTATACGAATCAACAGCCTAGCGTACCTGCGAGATCCACGATGACCTCGCCGAGAAGAGTATCCGGCCACAGCCAATTTCGATGCCATACTGAGATCGCGATTTTTTTGTGGTGAATCTCACGGGGATCGATGCCCGAGAATGGGAAGGTTTCCATCCATTTCGGATTAAGATCGTGCTGGATACACCGCGTGCGACACTTCAGTTCCCTATAGCGCACGCGAAAATGTCCGTTTGGCTAATGTCACTCACGAAGCGTAAATTTCGTTTAATGTTGCGTACGCTTGTTCAGGCACCACTTGAGCTCTGCAATAGGGATTGGTGTAGCCGGGTTTATTCGGTGGTTTCAGATTTCGCCCTTTTTGAATTTGCAGTGTCAGAATGCAGCGGTGGTACGTCATCCGCAGGAGGATGTCCCCGGTGACCGGATAAAGCTCATTGGATCTGGCTGACTGCAGATGCGACAAAGCACTGAACGTCCAAAAGTTCTATGATAATACGTAAGAGAAAATAATTTCATCTAACCAGTTTACGATCAAAAGGTCTAAATTCCAGTAAACTAAGGTAAGGGCCTAGTAAGCTTTTTCCGATTCTAGTAAGTTAGTAACCATTATCACAGCACACAGCTGCATTTCTGACGTCTTTTGATGAGCCAATAACCTTTTTACCTACAGGCTACACAACAGCAGCTACACGAAGCGCTGATAAACAGTTTTCGAGTCAAGATGCTTCAATCACACCCTTTCAATACCTCCTTGGGCGTCCGGATACCGTTAAGCAACGGCAGTGCCAGGTGGTTTCGCGGCACATACGTTTCATCGTCCTCCACCTCCGCCGTTTCTCCGGCCCGCTGCGTCCATAGGAGGGCGGTTTCGTTCATGGTTAACTTGTGCACCGTCCACATCGACAACGCCCTTGTGTCCTTTCTCAGCGGACGTGAGCGTCGCTCTCTTTAATTTTCACCAACTAAACTAAGCCACATAAACAAAAACATAGCAGTCATTGGCTCATGGCATTGTTGGCTCATGGCTCATGGCATCTCTTGAATCACACATCGGTTGCCGCTACAACTTTTGGCTGTCTAACAAAGATCTTTAAATGCAATTTTTCGCGCTGAAATCAAGCTGCACTTTTGCAAAATTAGCAGATATTTTGTAAACCGCTTCAACGTAGAAGCATGGGCGGCGCTTTTGGCATCAAGGGCGACGCATTGCGTAGCGGGCCTCAATTTCGTCTCTTAACTTCGCGGGAACGCAGTGCAAAAAAGCCGTCGCTAGGCTCGTGCCGATTGACTGCCGACAAATTTAATGTTCGGCGCTGCCTTTTTAATGGGTGAATTCTAAAATTAAATAACCTGTAAAAATTATCAAACTCGCTGCATAACCGCCACCATTTACTCGATATGCGCACTAAAGACTTTTTCAAACGGAATATGATGAACGATGTACATGTATATGTCTATATTTCGCTTAAAGCTTTTAAGTAAATTCATTTAATAAAGATCTATAGTGTTGCGCGGTACTCGACACCAACAAGCGGTTAACGGTTTTCTTGCAAAAACCGTCAACACTTAAACTGGAAATAGTAATGTTTCCAGTATTCTGCAAAATCGATTAATGTATCCAAGAAATATTTCCCTCTAATTTTTTGAAATATATACTTGTGGAAAAATTCTCTTAAATTCGCCAGTGACTGCCGTCATTTTAGGGCAATATCGATAAACTTGACCTACACAAGCCGGATTACACAAACATTGCTGAGTGAGCATAATTTCAAATTGACTAATAAACCATGCTCCCAAAAGTGCTCGACCAGAAAATGTTAATAATAATTTTTATAAAAATATTATACGACCTTTTATAGGATTTATAGGTCGCTGTTTGCGTTAGGGTTGCCGGTTTCTGCGACCCTCCTCTGCAAGCCACAACCTCTGCACTCAACCATACTATCACCGGTTTTCTTACCTTTTTTTAACCGACTTTACCAATTGGCATCTGCCTTGGCACTTCCAGCTCTTTGTCGTCTCGCCAACTATTAGCAGAAGTGTACTGCGGGTATTAGCAAGGGTCACGATTCCAATAATGAGCCGGAATGCTGCTGTGTACCGTGTATTTACAGCATGTACCGTATCATATTTAAGTAGGTCAGGAAAAACCGCGGCTCAGGTTGAGTTTTGCGAATGTGATGACTGCAGGGAAGGAGTTAATCCCACAGGCACGATAAAATTAAATTCAGGACTGAATGAATGTGTGAGGGGTGATCGGGGAACATGCTGGCTGCTCCGGCCAGCCTGCGCCTGCATGGATGGGTCAACAGTGGGCGCCTCGCGAAGGCGCGCTGGTGGATCGATAATGCGCTGGCTAGTGTATGCTGGCTATACGTGCACGCACTGCACGGGAATGACTATACGTAGCCAGTGGTTGCTCACCCGGAATCGATGCCGGCGACGCTGTCACTGCAATATCGGTGTGGGCACTGCAACGCAATCTTCTTTTATCACTACCACGCTTAGACGCCCCCCAACATGCCTACTTACTGACCATGCAAATGCTTCCACCCACCTCCTTTTGACCTATTTATTGTTTATTCTCTCAAGCATGGGGTGAGAGGAACATGTGAGCACTACAGCAGTGGTTGATACGATCAGATTGCTCACAAACTGCCCGTTGGCCCACAGTCATGCCAGCCACCGGTCAAAATTAGTTTGGCCGTACAACCCGTAAATTCTGCAGTCAAATGTTGTGGTCTGACTAAAGCAAACATATTTATAACAATTTTTTAAAATTATGAAGCTTTGTGAACAATTCCAAAACCCACACTGGTCTTAGAACACTGGTCAAAGTGAGCGACCGGAAAATACAACTAAAGGACATTCCAGAAATAAATGCTCAAGTACTTCTATAAGTTCTGCGTGTTCTATCAGTTTTTGTGTGTATTATTTTGTATCTGCCGCTGTATATGCATTCGGCTAAAACTTCCCCTATTGTTACGAAAGTGCGAAAGCGAATATTTTTATTACAAAGATAACTTCATACTCCAAATAACAAAAAAAGACGTGAGTACTGGGAACATATGCACTGTACGATAACAATAAGCAGTGGACTAGCGCTTTTCGTATAAACCAGTAAATCAACTCAACACCAGTGTGGTGCTATGGCATTGGCAGATGCTACAGTTCCTCGGTTGCCATGGCACGGCGCTCCCATAGCTGATACCAACGCTGGGTGCCATCCAGGTGGATGGGATCTAACAAAAATAAAAACCCATTTGTAAGTGCCTGCTTTTTTCTCAGCTGGATTAACACTTTCGTATACCGGAAAGATCCACAATGACCTCGCCGAGGAAATCGTCCGACGGCCGATTCCAATCCCACACGACAATCTGGATTTTCTTGTGGTGGATCTCGTTGGGATCGATGCCCGGGAACGTGAAGGTCTCTTTCCATTCCGGATTCAGATTCTGCTTGATGTGCCGCGTGCGATACTTGTACTCCCTATAATTTCAAGCAAATATCCGCTTAGCATATGATAATGACTAGGCATGATTCTGGCTAAAAACTACGTACGCTCGTCCAGGCACCACGTGAATCTTGCAGAAGGGATCGGAGTACCCAGCGTCATGGGCCGCTTTCAGATTGCGCGCTTTTAGCACGTACAGCGTGAGAGTGCAGCGTTCGTACGTCATGCGGAAGAGGATATCACCGGTAACCGGATGATGACCGCTAGATGTTGTCGACTGCAAAACACGGTAAAACATTTATTTTTAAAAATGCTTTATGACAGTGCTAAAATGTAGAATGATATTTAATGTTGTGACCATGTTGTGAGCCTGTTTCACGACCTTGAGCCTTGAGTTACTTTGCAATTTTAAACTTGACTGCAGTTTCGGCTCTTACGTTGGCACGGGACGGTCTAAGCGCCTAATAACCTATGCCAGGGCTCCGATCCGGCAATTCTGTTCAACCGTGTTAATCGCTATCATAGCGGCAATGGTGAAAATGGCCAAGGTCACTGAAGTTCGTTAACCGCTAAAATGTTTGTAGTGAAACTGGAATTGTTTCACCTTTGTAAAAAAGTTGGACTTTGCCGTACGCCGGTTCGGATCACAACTGCGAAATTTAACGACACTTTTGGGAAAAACTTCGCTTAATATAAAGAAAAGGCTCTGCGTAAAATGCATGTATTCACGTACTACTTATGTGATATGGCCTACGTACGGCTTGTTTATTCTATTAACTAATGCGGGTTCTGACGTTGCACAGTACAGGTTGCTGTTCTTATCAAACTCATTTGATCGCGTACGTCGTACGAGGTACATAAAAATGTCGACCTTATACCGGCTTTATATAAAATTTTACATTTTTTCCAAACGCCGGTAAATCCACCGCTTCGCCGGCAACTGCACCACACTACATCGGCATGACTTAGTCAATGCGGTAAGCGTAAGATCTACATACGCAAGAGTTACGCTACTGACCTCCATCGAATTTAAGTTTTTGTTCAGCTCGAACTTGCACTTGAACTCCTCCTCCTTGGGCGCCATCTTTTCGGCTTCCAGAACCAGATGCTCCGTGCCAGCCTGAAGAAAAACGTCAAAGTAAGCCACTCGCGTTCGGTTAGATACGAAAGAACAGCCAGCAGGAAAAACGGTGACGTGTGTAACTGTGGCCCAGTTTCAGCTTGTACCGGCGACTAAAGGTAAAGCGTTCTGTGCTGCACGTACCTCTTCCTTCATGGTTTTACCAAACACTTGCGCACTCTCCAGATCGAGGACGCCATTGGGTCCTTTCTTGACGTGCTTGCCCTTCGCGCGGCGCTTTTTACAGTACCGGACGCAGCAGCACGTGATGGCTAGGAGGATAAGGCAGAAGACGGCGGAAAGCGCCCCGCCCACAGCGGCTCCCGCCAGCACTGCAGTTGCACCGAATTTACTGCACATAATAATAAAGTAATAATAATCGGGTACTTTACACGAGCCCGATACTGAAAATCTCATCCGACGGCAAACATTTAAAATGTCGCTTGCACGCTCGGGACCTCATGCCGCCCTCCCCCCCCTTAAAAAAAGCTAAAGACACACTTGCACACAACCACACACTCTCCGCCTCTCTTACTTGTTACTAAGCACATGTTAACCATCTTTCAACGGACGTTCGTCTTGACACTTCCAGATTTTGTCTTTTAGTCCACACTCCACGAGAACTTGCTGCGGGTACAGCAAAAATCAGGAATATAAGACAGGAATTAAGGAATAAGTATGAAATATAAAACAGGAGAGACCGCGTTCAAGCTTAACGTTGCCCATGTAATGACTATTTTTAAGAGTTGAAAGCGTAGTCACGATGGAATTAGGTAAGCGCAGCACTGCCACAGCTCTGGGCACTGTATGGCTGTCTGATGTTGAGCAGCGTGTGGATGTTCGCTACTCGTCCAATTTGGGTCAATAGCACCTCGCGAAGGAACACCGGCAAACGATGGATCGATAATGCGCTGGCAAGTGTATGCTGGCTGTAGATGCACGAGCATAAGCTAAGCCAGCGTGAGCAAATCCGGGATCGATTTCGGTAATGCTGTTAATGCGGTAGTAATAACGGCGTGGCCGCTCAAACGCGTTCACTTCTGTCACTGCCATGCTCCCATGTCGCCAACCGCGTTACACGCTCGTTGTGAAAATGCTCCCACCCGCATCCCATTGTCTTAATTATCGTTTGTTTTCTTGTACACGGGGCGACATGTGCTGCAGCTACGGGCCTATGGCTGAGGTGGTCAGAATGCGGCCAAGCTGTCCTTCGTAGCACAACCATGGCCACCGCTCAAATTTCGTTTGACTGCAGATTAAAAAGAAAAGAGAAACGTCACACGTTTACTACTAAGCATTCAATACACAATTTTTTTTCAGTATCTCTGGTCTCTGCAGTAGAATCCTATTGGTCCTAGAAAATCCAGACTAGTGCTGGCGCGTGTTTTCAAAACACCGGGAAGGGAAACAGTTAGAGATGATTTTAAAGCAGCGGCAGCGGTTTAGAAGTAGAAGTATAATTATATGCTGTGCCAGTACATCACCCTTCATGCCTTCGACCTCCTGTCACTGCATAATGTGCCGAAACAAAACATCGAGGAATTATTTCCTTGCCTCGAGTTGTTCGAAATCCATGTGTTTTCGTGCTGAAAAATCGAATCCTTTGCTCGTTGGCGAGCAAATGGAACCGGGATCCCGGTCACAAACTATCCGTGAACAAAATCCCCAAAAATACAAGTGGAAGCTTGTTGTGTACCAGAACGTGAATGGTCAAGATGAAAGTGTTAACCATAATGGTCTGTCGGTAACTTGCTTATCCATCGAGTGGCCATCGCCAGCTGCCGGAATTTAATCAACCTGTTAAGAGTCGCGAATTTCGCACAATACCGCTGTTTATTGTTGACCGAGCGCAACGTTGACCGTTGCGGTTTTGTATCCCACTAAACAAGTGATATCGCAACCGCGAACTAGTAAACATTTTCCAGGTAAAATTCCAGTAAACAGAGGAGTAAATAGACACTGCGTACCGGCAGTGCGTAGACAGAACACGAGTTTTGATCACACAAGACCTCAAAACCCGTTTTCATCAGTACAAATGTAGAAACCTGACACATTCCAAAATCCCTTCACAAAAATCAACAAACCAAATTACAAAGGTACACAAAATTTGGAAACTACCAATAATTCAAAAAATACGTGAGTATCGGGAGCACATACAGTATATAATAACGACAGGAAGTGGAATTACAAGCACTTTTCTTACAAACCAGTAAAACAGCTGTTAAACTATTGCTTTGTACACCGCTGTGGTGATATGAAGAGAAAGCTACATTTCATCGGTTTTCATGGCAAGTTACGTTGCTCACACAGCTGATACCAGCGCCGGATGCCATCCAGGTGAATCGGATCTAACAAGATTAAAAATCGTATTTATACCTGCTATGTTCGTCATTTGGATGAACAGTTCTGTGTACCGGTGAGATCCACTACGACCTCGCCTAAGAAATCATCCGACAGCCGATCCCAATCCAACACGGTGATTTCGATTTTCTTACGGTGGATCTCGTTGAGATCGATGCCCTGGAAGGTGAAGGTCTCCTTCCATTCGGGATTCAGATTCTGCTGTATGTGCCGCGTGCTATATTTGTATTCCCTATAATTTCAAGCGAATATCCGCTTAGCATATGATAATGAGGAAGCGTGATTCTGGCTAAAGACTACTTACGCTCGTCCAGGCACCACGTGAATCTTGCAGAAGGGATCGGAGTACCCAGCGTCATGGGCCGCTTTCAGATTGCGCTCTTTTATCACTTGCAGCGTTAAAGTGCAGTCTTCGTACGTCATGCGAAGAAGAATATCTCCGGTAACCGAGTTATGCCCGCTGGATGTGGTCGACTGAAAACGCGACAAAAAGTTTTATGTCAATGCTAATTCAAAGTTATGACATCTAATTTCTGACCATGTTGTGACAGCCTATTCTCACGACGTCACCATGAGTAGGCTATGCTGTTTTTCCTTGGCTTTATTTTCCGATCATACGCTGATACGGAAAGAGCTAAACGTCTAGTAAACTGAGCCTGTGCTCCGATCCGACAATTTTCGTTCCGGTAAATGCTATCACAGAGACAATGGTGGCAATATTAAGGTCACCATGTTTCGTTAACGGCTAAACGCGACAGGCGCAGAATGCCTGTATGCACGTGGTATGGCGTACGTCGTGTCTGTTCCGTTAGCTTACAACATTGGTACAGAGTCTGTACACGACACATAATAATTATATTATTTACTCTGACGCTGTACGTGCCTTTTCCTTTGTTGTTTTGCCTAATTCTTGATCGACCTCGCCTTTGAGTCGTTTCCCAGCGTTCTTGTCCTCACCGCGGCGCTTCCACCAACGCCGGAAGCAGCAGTACGTGACCGCCAGGAAGGTGAGACCCAGGACGATTTTGGAGTTCATAATACTGTAATATAATACTGTAAATACTTTGCATAATAAATCATTAGCGCAGCAAATTTAGTGCTAGGCAAAAATATATGTTGTAACACAATCCTTTTTTATCGACCGAAGCGAAGGTTCAGTATGTTCAGGAAAATACACCTTCCCGTCGATCACGCACTATGTAATTACTCTAGGCAAGTACTACGAGTACGGCTTTCCACTTACATAATACATTGGCTAGCTGATCGTTTCCTATAGTCAAAGAAAACACTATTGTCTGTATGCTAGTCGCGAATTAATATACAAGTATACTGTATACAACATGGGCTACATATCTGTATCAGGAACTGTAGTGGAAGTATAGTTCTTAGCCAACCTACTTCGAAATTCGGTTCTTCTACTTAGCTTACTAACTTAGTTAACTGGCCATATATGCTAAAGTTTAGTGCGCGACGCAGTAAGTGCGCGCTACGCAGTGCGCTGCGAATGATTTCCGAAAAAAAGACATTTCCAAATCTCTCTTTCCAAAAAAAAGACATTCAAATTCCAAAGGCTTAGATCTCTCTCTGCTCCTTAAATTTTGCAGAAGACAGAAGTTACAAGAGAAAATGGAGAGGAAGAGCGACACACCCTCGGGAGGTGTCGAATCCTTTCGTTTGGCAGGAAGTGGCAAGAGAGTTGGCCAAAAAGCGAATACTGAGGAGGACGCTAAACTTTGAATCTGCTCCCCCCTGGGCGGTCAAAAACGAAAAACGACGGGGGTGACCGCCCCTCCTCTAGGGTGGGCCTCAACTACGCGCAATTAAGCCCGATACGGTCCGCTTAATTCAACAGTACGCCATGCACTTTCGCCTCACTTACTTTTTATTTGGCAACTTTCAACGATTATTCTTCTCGACCGCACTCCACGAGAGCTTGCTGCGGGTATAGCGAAGGTCACCAGTCCGACAATGAGATAAAGCGTTAATGTGTATGTAAAGGAATATTTTGAAACAGGAAAGACCACGTCCACGTTCAGCGTAGGGCATGTGATTTCTGCGTGGAAGGAATTAATCCCACAATCGTGGTGGGAATGGGTAAACGGTATGCTGCTAATCGATGCCGGCAACGCTGTTGATGCAGCAGCAGTATCGGCATGGCTTCTGCAACACATTACTGCCACGCTCATATGTATTCTGCCGCCGAAGCGCTTACGTACTTCCCATGAACGTTCTTACCCCCGCATCCCTTGGAGATATTTATCGTTCCTTTTCTTATAAACGTGTAGCGTGTATACTGACAATTACGGCCGAAGCAGCCATAATGCGGACAAAATGTTCCTCCCAGCCCACTAAGCCCAGCCATGGCCACCGGGCAATTTTGGTTTGAATTCAGACCGAAAACGCGAAGCTACAAATTCTGTTGTCAAACGTCAAGGTTTGACTAAGCAGTACACTTTTATAACACTTTTTTCTAAAATGTCTGATCTAAAATTTATTTTATCCTAAAACGGCCCACTGGTGTTAGAACGGTTAATGTTGATGACAGGAAACAGCAGCATATTAAATGCTCGGTCGATAATCGGTGCTTCTGCTACTTTAAGCAAATTTTGAATACCGCACCTATGTTAATCAGTTTAACCAGTGTAATCATGAACTTACACAGATAAATATAATTATGCAATCTTATCTGGCTGTTTTCTTGGTTAGAAATCCTCGTCGGTCAGTTACTGCAATGCTGATCGCAAACCTGCCAACAAAACCTGTCAAGCCTGCCAACAAGCAGGATTTGTGTAAACAAGTGTTTAATTATTTCCGATTAACGACGGTTTCTTGGGGTTAGATAATAAAGTCTTTTTAATTCGGAAAAAATGGAGACATGTGGCAGTAACTGCCTCTACCAGTACGGTTCCGCATTGCACACCGATGACTACATTGGCGGAGGCTCATTCGGCTGTGTCTATAAAGCAACAGTTACGGATCGGAATGAATATAACGGAAAGGATATCGTCGCTGTAAAAGTCATTCACCTGAAGAAGCAAACGGGAGTTTTATCAAATCCGGAACTTTATGGCCGAGCGCGAGATAGATTAAGGTCGCTGATTGCACTCCGACATAAGCATGTCGTTGTATACCACAAGGTTTCGATTACAACGACAAATTCAGGAGCTACCATTGAATTAATGATGGATTTGTATGACAGTAAGTTAAAAACTGAACAAATTTACGGGTAGACTCCAGCGGAGGTTTGGTCTCATGAACGTTTTTAGGTGATCTGGCTTTTTTACTGCATAAATTGCGAGAAATCGAGGATTTGCTGAACGAGGCAACAGTGGTTCGTTATTCCAGGGAACTTGCAGAAGGAACAGAATACCTGCATCAGAACAACATCATACACGGCGATATTAAACCGGCGAACATAATGGTAAAAAACCTGGATTTCGATCAAAAGCGGTTGCTAATCGGCGATCTAGACGATCGCGTTCAGATGCAGCAAGACATCACGTGCTCGCGTGATATCACCCATTTACGCGGAACTGCGAGGTACATGTCACCGGAGATGCTGAGAAAATTTGCCACAATGAATGGCGAAATTTATAAACCGGAGATTTTGGGGAGAAAAACTGATATTTGGAGCTTGGGTTGTGTAATGCTGGAACTTGCCAAGTGCATTTCAAAAAACCGAGAAAACTGGGTGGAAAATTCGAAAGGCCAGCGAGCCAATGCTGGGACAATCTCCGACGCGGAATTCGTTACACTGATCATGCATGCCGGTTACGTGCCAGTTGTGCCTGATTCCGCTCCACAGGGACTGACTGGCTGTATTCGTGGGTGCTTGCAAACCGGCAGTGAAAGTAGATTGTCCGCTAGTCAACTGCGCACACTGCTTGAGCAGCTTCGTAATTCAAATATTCCATTACCAAGCCGGACCTCGCCGGTTAAACAGATCGCGGTGGTTCTCTGTGACCTCGAGCCAAACATTCAGAAACCTTCAAGAATTTTCGCGCGTGTAGTCGACCCGGATGATAAGGTGATCCGCCAGATCTTGCTACCTGAGGAGCTTCAGAGGAAACGGTTTTCGGGGTTTTTTACAGCGGTCGACAACGATATCGTCTGCCAGGTGCGCGACCCAAAGGGTACAGAATTTGAAACCGTTGCCTGGAATTTAATCACAAACACATGTCTTCCTATCATCACTGCCGATAAGACCACCCCAATGCACTTCCCCGTAGCATTCGGAAGGAAGATCTATTTTTTAAACGAGAAAGAGGATGCGTTTAATGTAATGGATTTTGACAGCGGAACGGTCCTACCACTGGGTAGACCCAGAATTCCGTACGAGGACCGCAATCCTTTGTAAGTCGCCAGTTTGTTTAATCCCAACGTCCAACGAAGGTCGTTATTACAGACTTCTTGCTAACTGTTGTCGGTTATTTTTCAGAGGTCGCCGAATAGTTCGTGGTGTACGATCTGGCTTGCATATCGTTTTTCTGGGAACTGTGACAGAGAGCAGCCGCAGCGACGATGCGCCAAAAACGATGGCGACGATGTGGATCGTAATTTGTCTTAACACGGAAACGGGTGAATGGAGCGTGTTTTCGAAATCCCCGAAAGGGGAGACAATAAAAGATGATTTTGATGCAGCGGTTCTAAGCGAGACAGTATATATGCTAGGTGCCAGTACATCGCCCTTCAAGCCTTGGACCTCCTGTCACTGCATTGATGTGCAGAAACAGACCATTGAGAAGTTATGTTCCTTTCCTAGAGAACGTCGGAATCCATGCCTTTTCGTGCTAAACAATCGAATCTATTTGCTCGACAACGAGCAAACGAAACCGGGATCCCGGTCACAGACTGTCCGTGTTTACCATCCTCAAAAGGACAAGTGGAAGCCTGTAGTGTACCAGACTGTGGATGATCAAGATGTAAGTGTCAGTCAGAAGGGTTATTCCGCAATCAGCTTATCCATCGAGTGGCCGTCATCAGATTCTGGCATTTAAAAGAACCTAGCAATCGTAGCAGATGTTGTACAAATTACAGCACCATGTTTACTGTCGACCGAGCATAGCGAGGGAGAATTAGTAGAAAGGCCGAGCGCTCGAGAGCATCCCATACCACCAATAAAGGAGCAAACGGCTTTTCCCTTGTGTAATTCAACGCGTAAACATTTTAGCGTCTCATAAATTTAATAATTACTCGTGGAAGCCTTTTTAGCACTAATTGCTCGTTTCTGGCAAGCGCTGTCGCAAATAAAATTACGGTCGACGGAAGATGCATACCGGCACCATGCGCAGACAACACTATTTTTAACACAAACCTCACAAATCTTTTCCAGCAGTACAAATGTAGAAACCCGACACATTTAAAAATCCCGGCACAAAAACCAACATTAAGGGTAATTAAATTAATTTAAAAACGTACAAACAATTAGGACACTATCCAAAACGTGAGTGAGCATCGGAAACACATACAATATGCAATAACGATAAGAAGTGGAATTACAAGCACTTTTCTTACAAACCAGTAAAAACAACTCTTAAACTGCACCGTTGTGGTAATGTGAAGAAAATGCTACATTTCTTCGGTTTCCATGGCACGTCGCTCGCACAGCTGATACCAGCGTCGCACGCCGTCCAGATGGATCGGATCTAAATGGATAAAAATGGGCTATGGCTATTTTACCCCAGTATTCTGCAGTGTGGCAAAATAGCCTTTTGCTATTTTGCCCCACACTGCGTTAAAATAGCCTTCAGCTATTTTACCCCAATGTGAGGGGCTAAATAGCCTGCTGCTATTTTGCCCCAGTATGCGTTGGAATAGCTTTTTTCTATTTTGCCGCAATATTCGTGATTCTCGACAGGACTGCACACTGGCAGTGTGTTATTTTGACGTCACTAACAAACGGATTTTACAGTGCGCCAACAGGAGAACTACGCATGCGCTGTGTTTCTGGTTACGTGCTAAAATTTAAGGCGGAAGAGTAGTACCGTGGAATAGAGCTACCGCTTGATTTAAGAATACTGTAAGCATTTTTATCATACATTTTTTTCTCGTTTGCAGAGGATGGTTTTCTGTAAATTTTCATGTATCTGCCCAGTTAACAAGCAGTACATTTTGCGAACGCACGCTGTTCAAAAAGTGCCGGGATAAGCACTAGTTCATATGGGCCTACGACGACTTCCCGTCGCACCTGAGTCGCACGGCTTCCAACCGCCACAGGGCGCCATCCTGGCGAGAATCATCAGTTATGGTATTTCGTAGTTGAGTGTAATTCTACAACCACGAAGCGTACCGTCCGCCTTAGTACTTGGTCGACAACTCGACATGACTGACTTCACGGATATCACAGCGCGGTATAGTCTCCGGAAGCCAAAGAGAATCGAAGCCACAGCGAAGAAGAAGATCGAAGAAGGGAGGTTGCCCATGCGTTTAAATGCCAATTTTGAGCGCATACAAAAACTTGATTTGCAGATACTCAGTGGTGATTGTGTGGGTTTTTTTAAAGTTGCTCTCCAAAGGTTGATCTGTCGTAATCTTGATGGTGTTTTTCAGTGACGGGTTACTGAGTAGACAGTAAGTAAGGGAAAGTTACACAGTAAAAAGTAGCCTAATATTATGCGATCAGTAACCAGTAACATTTTCGACCTGAAGTAACTGTAACTGTAAGATTTTTAAAATAACAGTAAAAGTAAGTAAAAAGTAGGGAGAAATTCTGACTGGTTATATTCGTGTGGTAATAATCGTAATATCAGCAGCACAGCACAGAGGGCTCACGAGAGTGAGTGATGAGGCGTTATTGTGTGAACGATAAAGCATAGACGCCTATGGCGAGGTGTTGCTCGTGCAAGAACAGAATCGAGACTAAACAGGATTGAGCGGCTGAATCAGCCGTAACATGGAAAATGCCTATCTGCGGCACTGGGAACATCCGCCCACGAGCGAACGAACGCTATCGGCCGAGACGTAAAGCCGTAGGCGTGGAAAGGCGTAGCCGAGCCGAAGTCGAGGCCGATACGGCGTACGTCAGCGAGTGCGACTCCGTGTGCAAGTCAGCCCACCGGAAGCAGGACTGTCGCTGGCTGACATACTCTTAGGCAAATACTGAACTTCTGACGGCTGCGCGCGTAATTACCGGGCCAATCCGGGTCGATCCGGAGAATCCGTTTCTTTGGATGCTTTGGACGTGGTACAGGGATGTAGGGTCCACCACCGTATCCCTTACTGTCGGTCCGGTTGATATCAGATGTGAAATTCGTCTACGTCTTCACTGGAGACGTCGTCATGGCCCTTTTTGACCGTTTCACGATAAGCATAACTCCTTGGAGTCCGGCTAAATAAAGTTTACCGAAAGTTGAAGTTCACCGGCTGCCGGTTAACTAAAGTTCACCTGAAGTTTTCTTACCGGGAATAATTCTCCATCTCATCACTTGTCGCCTACTGGGCAACAACGACGGGGTTCTCGTCGGTTAAGTTGGGTCAGGTTCGGGTCGCTTCCTTGTCCGCGGTAGTCTCAGTGTCCGAGGTTGGGCATTCTGCTGGTTTGAGTTTCCGATGACTCAGCCGGACAAGACCCTCGTTGTAATTCGTTGTCACCTATTGGGCAACGGGGATGGAGTCATTATCTTTGCTCATAGCAAGAGTCCGTGTGTGGCTCCATATCCGAAATAGCCTCCGTGCGTGAGGCCTTCTCGCACAAGCAAACCCTTGGTTTCAGGTCCAGTTGCCTAAATTGGCAACATGGGCTGGATAATGCCAGGATTTTCAAGTTGAATCCGGGATAGCCCAAGTTGGATCCGGGGTTACCCTCGGTTGATATGGGGCAGCCTCGATCTAACAGTCTGCGGAGTCAAGGTTCCGATGTTTTTTCCGGGCAAAAATCCGTGATTCCATTCCCCGTCGCCGAAATCGAAAGGATCCCAACCCTTGTTTGGGTACGTTCGGTGGCGGATGCGGGTATGGTGCGATCTGCTGGGGTTCTAACGCCGTGTCCCTTATTGAGAATCCGAGTAGTTGCAGCACCGTGTTTGACGCTCCGCACTTGACATGTCCAGGTCGGATTCGTCTACGTCGTCGTATCCATATGACCGTTTTTGGGGTAGCCGTATCCATATATGGGTTCGACTACCGGTAGTGGATGAGTCGAGTTGTCGCCCTGTCGACTTATCTAGTTAACGAGTTATCGATCTGTCGACTTACCAGTTCTTCAAGGAAAATGGCGTTGGTTGACCGGTCCGGTTGAAAAGGTTGGTGGGTTCTGGTAAACGTGACGAGGTGTTGTGACCTATTGGGTCATTCCGGATCGTTCAACAGACGATGCCAGTTATGCTTCTTCAGATGTATTGTCGGAGGTAGGCCTGTTTCAGGTGGCCAATTTCAGGTGGCCAATTTCGGTCGGTTCCGGGAGCTCGCGTTGATGTTTCGGTTAGGTCATACGTTGAATCCTCGGATAGAAGAGTTTACGGCACGGCACAGCCGGGAACGGCACAGCCGGGAACGGCACAGCCGGGAACGGCACAGCCGGGAACGGCACAGCCGGAACGGCACAGCCAGGAACAGCACAGCCGGGAACGGCACAGCCGGGAACGGCATAACAGCACAGCCGGGAACGGCACAGCCGGGAACGGCACAGCCGGGAACGGCACAGCCGGGAACGGCACAGCCGGAACGGCACAGGGGAACGGCACAGCCGGGAACGGCACAGCCGGGAACGGCACAGCCGGGAACGGCACAGCCGGGAACGGCACAGCCGGGAACGGCACAGCCGGGAACGGCAGCCGGGAACGGCACAGCCGGAACGCACAGCCGGAACGGCACAGCCGGGAACGGCACAGCCGGGAACGGCACAGCCGGAACGGCACAGCCGGGAACGGCACAGCCGGAACGGCACAGCCGGGAACGGCACAGCCGGGAACGGCACAGCCGGGAACAGCACAGCCGGGAACGGCACATGGGAACGGCACAGCGGGAACGGCACAGCCGGGAACGGCACAGCCGGAACGGCACAGCCGGAACAGCACAGCCGAACAGCACAGCCGGGAACGGCACAGCCGGGAACGGCACAGCCGGAACGGCACAGCCGGAACGGCACAGCCGGGAACGGCACAGCGGGAACAGCACAGCCGGGAACGGCAGCCGGGGCGTACCGGTCCTTCTTCCTCTTCCGTCCATTCCCTTGAGTTTCGCTTCGTAAGTGGATCCCAATGGCACAGCCGGGAACGGCACAGCCGGGAACGGCACAGCCGGGAACGGCACAGCCGGGAACGGCACAGCCGGGAACGGCACAGCCGGGAACGGCACAGCCGGGAACGGCACAGCCGGAACGGCACAGCCGGGAACGGCACAGCCGGGAACGGCACAGCCGGGAACGGCACAGCCGGGAAGCAACGGCACAGCCGGGAACGGCACAGCCGGAACGGCATAGCCGGGAACGGCACAGCCGAACAGCACAGCCGGGAACGGCACAACGGCACAGCCGGGAACGGCACAGCCGGGAACGGCACAGCCGGGAACGGCACAGCCGGGGCGTACCGGTCCCTTCTTCCCTCTTTCCGTCCATTCCTTTGAGTTTCGCTTCGTAAGTGGATCCCAATGCGCGGAGACACCAGGCGGGAACGGCACAGCCGGGAACGGCACAGCCGGGAACGGCACAGCCGGGAACGGCACAGCCGGGAACGGCACAGCCGGGAACGGCACAGCCGGGAACGGCACAGAACGGCACAGCCGGGAACGGCACAGCCGGGAACGGCACAGCCGGGAACGGCACAGCCGGGAACGGCACAGCCGGGAACGGCACAGCCGGGAACGGCACAGCCGGGAACGGCATTAGCCGGAACGGCACAGCCGGGAACGGCACAGCCGGGAACGGCACGAAGCCGGGAACGGCACAGCCGGAACGGCACAGCCGGGAACGGCACAGCCGGGAACGGCACAGCCGGGAACGGCACAGCCGGGAACGGCACAACGGCACAGCCGGGAACGGCACAGCCGGAACGGCACAGCCGGGAACGGCATGCCGGGAACGGCACAGCCGGGAACGGCAGGGAACAGCACAGCCGGGAACGGCACGAAGCCGAACGGCACAGCCGGAACGGCACAGCCGGGAACGGCACAGCCGGGAACGGCACAGCCGGGAACGGCACAGCCGGGAACGGCACAGCCGGGAACGGCACAGCCGGGAACGGCACAGCCGGGAACAACAACGGCGGGAACGGCACAGCCGGGAACGGCACAGCCGGGAACGGCATTAGCCGGGAACGGCACAGCCGAACAGCACAGCCGGGAACAGCACAGCCGGAACAGCACAGCCGGGAACGGCACAGCTGGAACGGCACAGCCGGGAACGGCACAGCCGGGAACGGCACAGCCGGGAACGGCACAGCCGGGAACGGCACAGCCGGGAACGGCACAGCCGGGAACGGCACAGCCGGGAACGGCACAGCCGGGAACGGCACAGCCGGGAACGGCACAGCCGGGAACGGCACAGCCGGGAACGGCACAGCCGGGAACGGCACAGCCGGGAACGGCACAGCCGGGAACGGCACAGCCGGGAACGGCACAGCCGGGGCGTACCGGTCCCTTCTTCCCTCTTTCCGTCCATTCCCTTGAGTTTCGCTTCGTAAGTGGATCCCAATGGTAAATCCAGGTCTCGTCTCCAGTGAGGATGTTTGATAAATAACGTTGAGGATGATTTCGACAGCACTTGAGCAGACCCCGACAAAAATCAACACGAGCCCGTTTCTGACTTTCCGAGAGCAGATGAGGCACAAATTTCGACACAATTTTTCGCAAATTCAGATGATCATGTAGGATGCTTGCCACGGCTTGTGCTCCAATCCCCAGATCGTACATTATCTGCGGAACTGTCACCCGCGGATTTTGGTGCACGATTTCACGAACACGAGCAATGTTTGCGCAGTTGACCGCTGTCCGTGGTCTTCCCAATCTTCGACCATCTTCCACAATTTGCTGTCCGTTCCGGAATTTCCTTTACCAAGTCCTAACTGTCTGGATCGAAGGACAATGCTGTCCGAAAACCCCACAAATTTTTTCAAAACAAACTGTACAGTCGTTACCGAGACAAAATTCAGAAAAGATAACAGTGCGAATATGCTCCTTGGTAAGCGGCATGTCGAAACACAGGCGCGTGCGAGGCTTTGCCACACTGACTGGCGAAAATTAAATGCAATAAATAGCCAGTGGTTAACTGGCCTGCCGGATGTGTATGAGTCATTGCACCACTGACCATTCTCGACAGTGGACTGGCCTGCCGGGTGTGTATGAGTCATTGCACCACTGACCATTCTCGCAGCTGGACCTTACTTACTTCCAGCTGCTTCTGCTCAAAAGATATAAAATACGGAAAGAAACTTTTGGAATGTCACATCAATTTTCATAAATAACCTTTTGAAAATTTTATTTTGTGAAGGTTGTTATGTTCGATGTCATCTGTCGACGATCTTATGTGATGTGTTAGACAGCTTAATTCGTTAGTTGTGCACAGTTCCCGCTACGGTTTTACACGCGTTCGTCATAGTCCTTCGTCTTGAAACGTGAAAATGTATTCTGATTTGAAGGCAGTTTACCAATTTTTGACTGCCAAACGACATCCAAAAGAAATAAGCGAAAGCCAGGATCGCTCAATTCGTCGGCATAAGGAGAGGTTCACCACCATTGGGGACATCTTGAATTACACTGCCACACAGCGGAAGGGACTCAATTTTTGGGGCTGTCTTGTCGTTCTGTGCTCCTACCAAATTGTCCGGGCAGAAATAGTGATCCGACCAAAGAGTGTGGGCTGAAATATTGCTCCGACCAAAGTTTACGGGCTGAGAACGAATAAAATTTTGGGTTGGCAAAATTTACGGCGGACGTTTTTTTGGCCCCCGGACGGTTTGGTCAGTTTAACGACCAAAACGTCCGCCGGACGTCTTGGTCGTCCGGACGTTTTGGTCGGTTACTTGACGGTCGTAGACTCGTAGTACGACCACTGCAAGGACAATTCGCGAGACCTCGCAATACATCACGCTATTCGAACACAACGTCTGGATGAAAATACATAATGCGGCCGAATAGTACACGGCTATTCGGCCGCCCATACTGGGGCAAAATAGCTGAAGACTATTTGAGCGCAGTGTGGGGCAAAATAGCAAAAGCCTATTTTGCCCCGCATACTGGGCAAAATAGCCAAAAGCTATTTTGCCACAAAGACTGGGGTAAAATAGCCACTTCGATAAAAATGTCATGTATCCACGCGTGCATAGTGCATTTATCAGTGCCTGCTTGGTTTGTTATAATTTTAGGTGAACAGTTTTGTATACCGGTGAGATCCACGATGACCTCGCCGAGGAAATCATCCGCCGACAGTCGATCCCAATCCCATACCGTGATCTCGATTTTCTTGTGGTGGATCTCGTTGGGATCGATGCCCTGGAACGTGAAGGTCTCCTTCCATTCCGGATTCAGATTCTGTTGGATGTGCCGCGTGCGATACTTGTACTCCCTATAATGTCAAGCAGTTATCCGTTTAGCAACTGATAATCACGAAGCATGACTCCGACTAAGCGCTACGTACGCTCGTCCAGGCACCACGAGAATCTTGCAGTAAGGGTCGGAGAACCCAGTTTTATCGGCCGCTTTCAGATTGCGCGCTCTCAGCACTTGTAATGTCAGGGTGCAGCGCTCGTACGTCATGCGCAGGAGAATATCACCGGAGACCGGATGATGCCCACTAGATGTTGTCGACTGCAAACAGGAGAAAGCATTAATATTCATCATTTAACAACTCTATTTACCGTAAGCAAAAGTAATCCTGTCGAACTGGTTGACCGTTTTGTAGACCGCCTGTTCTGAACAGCTCGCCGCAGGACCGCACACTTATCGTAAGCTACCCAAGCTGTCTCCTTTTGGTACTCTAAATTCGTTCGTAAGGTATAGTCAAAACGTGTAATTATTTCGTGAAATGAGCATATGCTCTGGTGCTTTCTCTATTTCGGCTGATCTGGTAATCACTGTCATGGTGACAAATGGCAGTGTTGACATTATCAAGGTCAGTAGTTCGTACTTTGTAAAGCGTAAAAATAGTCTGTAGCGAAATGGAAATTTTTTTCTTATTTTCGTCAGCTTAATCGGAACTTAATTTTGCGAAATCTCCAAGTAGAACTGCGGAACTGAGAATATTAAATAACGGAGAATATTAAGAGATGGTAACGGAGAATATTAAGTCTGTGCTTAATAGCGAGCGATTTGACATTTTGCGATCTCATCCATTACGGGTAGATCTTATTATGGCGTTAGATACTGTTTTTAGTATATGCAAAATATTAAATTTTTGCATAATACAAAGCTCGCTTAGCGAATTTTTTTGCATCTGCTATCCAAATCTGTTCGCAGCGTTAAGAACTTTGAACGACAGTTACGGTCGATCATTTTGACGGTTTACGATCTCTGGACCTTATGATGGCTTTATACAATTTTGCAGTCCACACAGGCAGCTAGAAGCTCTATGAATTCGCTAAATAAGTACACCATGTGATGCTCTAGCAGCATGGTTTCAATACCTTCTTGCGAGCCAGGATACCACTGGGTGACGGCGGTGCCAGCTGGTTCTTGGGCACATACACTTCGTCTTCCTCTACCTTCTCCGCTCGTCCGCCCCGTTGCTGCCCAAAGAGGGTACGCCCTCCCGGAGCGGGCGACCGGTCGCCGCCGTCATACTGGCGCATCGCTGCAATTAAACGTCATTCAATTTTTATTCGGAATTTTGCGTTGTCTGCTAGGCAGTGCTGACCTTTCTCCGCTTGGTGCGAGGCGCGACGGGCCATCCGCTGCTGCTCCAGTTCGCTCTCCAGATCGCGGACATTGTAATCACTGCGCAGCAGGATCTCCACTTCTCCGTTGCTTTTCTCCAGAATCTCCTGGACTTCTTCGTAGGATTTGTTGGTCAGTGGGACACCATTCCATTCCAGGACTTGGTCACCTGTTAAACCATAATAAACACTGTTTTGCCAGAAGCAGTTATGATAAATTATCGTCGATCCCACCAACCTTCTTTGGCTTCACCCAATGTAGCCATGATGCCGTTGTCGTAGATCTTGCTGATAAACGCCGCCAGGGTGTTGGTGTTGGGTATCAGCTTCCCGCCGGCAATCCGTACGCCCAGCCCATTCCCGCTCAAACTTCGATCTTTGGGATCACGTGTCAGCAGGATACGCTTGGTGGGAAAAGCATACTTTGGCTGAAAATATACCGTACATCCATTAGATCGTTATTAATAGGAACAAAATAATACATACACTGCGGTATAAAACAGCAATAAATTTATGATAATATTATTATAATATGACCTTGCTGTGGAAGTTAGCTTCTACTAGGGTTTCTGCCGGATAAAATCGTGTGTGTTGTTCATCACGGAAGCAATGCAGAACAGTTCATTCACAAGTTAACAGACATTCATTAGTTTTCCACCAGCGATTGAACAGTATGATCATTTTAAGACTGTGAGGATTCGACTGTCAAAATGGATTTTATAACATTGGTTAAATTTATCGCTGATATAGAGCGCCGTGAAATACAGAATAATAATGAATAAAATACCGGCAGATATGCAAAATCGTAGAGTAACGGCACCTGATTCTTAATCGGAACCGTATACATAGTTGCTGCCAAATAAAACAGACAGAGTATACGCAAGGTCGTACAGAGTATACGCAAGGTCACTGAAAAATGTACCAGTTTTTAGCTCCATAAATAGTCTGTTTACTACGATTTTTTATTAAGTATTTGTTGCTGGCAATGCTTCGAGTCAGGAACAACTTTTACCGTAAAAATGTGAGTTAGCTATGCAGTGGGCTATATCACGTTTTACCGCCAGTGCAAAATTTTATATAGGGAATAGCTTTTATCTTTTTCTTTGTCAGTCGTGCAACATATAAAGACTGTTTAGTAAGACAAAAACATGCAATAAAGTTGTGAGAAGCACTTAGGTCACCCACCTGTCCGTTATCTTTCTTGGGTTTCTTCAGAGACATGGACCGCGACAGTTTCTCCCCCACATCCATCCCATCACTCCCGGTCTCACTGGCGTTCTCCTTATCATCCTCCCACGCATCGCCCTCCATACTGATCACGCCGGTCTGGGGCTCCTCGGCATTACTGACCCGCGAATCCGGCAGCGGCACATCCAGCACCGTCTCCTGGCTGATCTGCTGCCCGGCCGTGTGCGCCAACGGCGTCACCGCCCGCACAGACGGCGGCCCGGTGGCCACCGGTCCCCACAGCTCCTCGCGGGGCTCATCGTACCCGTCAAACGGATAATACTGGTCCTCTGGCGCGTACGTCCCGGCGAAAGATCCTGGAGGGGGTGGCGGATACGGGAGGGGCTCGACGAAGGCCGGAAAGGGCGGTCCCCGACCGAAAGGGCCGCGGAAGTCTTCGGGCGGGTACATGCGGTAGTCGTAGTCGTTGTCCATGCGGAAGAAGTCGTCCTCCCACATACGGCGTCCCCGTCCGAAGCTGTGTGACATCGCCAGCGGGTGGTAACGATTGGAGTCGCGCAGGAAGGGTGGTTCGTCCGGGGTGGATAGTCGCGGCCGTAGGGCGGTGGTGGTGGGCGGTAGGTGGGCGACATCAGGCTGAGGTCGTTCTCCGAGCGCCAGCGGGGTCCGGGTGGACGGCGGGTCAGCGCAAGGCTGGAGGTGGAGCGGAATAAGGCTTTGGTGTCGGCGATCTCCCGGTTGATTTGCTGCAGTTTATTGACAATATCCTGCAGGTCGGGATCGGATTGGTACTGGCTGTAAGATTTTGGTCCTGAAAATTAAAATGTTTTCGGTATTTGTTTGTGTCTTGCACTTTATTGGTATTGCACCTTTTGTGTTACATTCAAAACTCAAATCAAAAACTTTTTTTCTAATTAATTATACGGTGTATGCGTGTGTATACGGTGTATGGAGGTAAAATTAATTCTGATGTACAATGGATGCTTTACCGCCAATTACCGGTAGGCTGTATCCAACGGTTTTCTCATATCACTGTCTGCAGCTTTATAAAATACCGTAGACAGAAAACTTCAGGTAACCTAACTCCATAACTAGCTTCGAAACATATGCTAGATATTCTATGTGAAAAAATCGTAGTAATATTATGGCAGTTATTTTCGCACTATCTCTAGACGGACAAAATCCTGAGTAACTAGCATTCTCGAAGGCGTCATTGGTCTAATGGGCCCATGCACTACGTTATCCACTCCCAACAGGCCGATTAATCTAGCCAGGTGTGTAAAAACTGCAACTGTGCATAATGCAAATGTGCATCAAACCTGTTAAACCCTTCTGCATAGGTACTAGTAAACAAATTTCTAAAACAGGTAGTCATAAACTGTAATTTCCATGACGATAGCCTTCCAAATAAAATTTAGCAGCCAATCGCATCACGGTCGGTATTGACTGGCTCTGTCAGTTGTTGAAATAATTCTTTAACTGCGCCCAGGCGCATGGCGTCACAGAAAAGCTAACATACACGTAGCAGCCCCATAGCTCACCCGTAAACTCCTCTCGCCGTGGGGGGCCGCCGATATTATACCGCTGATAATCGTCCCGCTCGCGTTGATACTGATCCTCCCGTGCTTGCCGCCGGTACTGCTCCAGGACGCTGCGGAACAGTGCGGGGTCGGAGGTGGTGGTGTGCTGCTGGTAGGCCGAGCGGATATTGTGGATCTTCTTCACCGAGCCCAGCGTCGTGTCAGTGAGGTACTCGTTGGAGGACGACAGGTGGTCGTCGCCGCGGAAACCGTTGAGCACCGCCGCGACGCATCCGCTGTTGACCGGCTTATTGGGCAGCGAGCCGAAGGCGGCGACGGTGACCTTTTCGTCGCCGTAGTGCACACGGTCGCGGTGGGCGGCCAGGGCACGGAGCTGCTGTTTGAGCAGCTGCAGCTTCTCGGCGTCATGGGGCGTGGCCGGGGAATGCTTAAACAATCCAGAGTTTTTTGAAGCGGTACGAGAACTTGAATATTTTTTCTATCGTTTTCCTTGCTGACCAGAAAACGGCTGTTACATGTATTTGCGAGACAATTGTAACTAAAGACTGCTACGGCTAATACACTGTATTTACATGTATTTACTGTATTTACACACAATTGTAAAAAAAATTACCGCGTTATAATCATGTGATCTTGAAAAAATATTTGTTTCTGAAATAAAACTACGAAAAAATAGTCAATGTTGTGTACCAACGCAGTATTATATTCTTCTGTGATTTTAAATCAAGAACCTTTCCGCGGCAGTACAGAGCCACTTCACTACAATATGCTATAGTTTCAATTTTACTGAGTGTCATCGTGGAGCCAATTCCAGTCAATAAAAAAGTACAGTCCAGTTTTTTTGTTGTAATTTCGCACTGTTTTTTTAAATTGTAAAGAACTTTTTTTAATATGCATTGTATTTACCGTGGTAATAGACACACCTAATATGAAAAATTGGCTGCTGAAAACAAACGTAAATACGAGTATTATATAATCGACATAAAAAGTATTTTTGGTAGAAGCTAATATTTTAGCACGCTAACAGTTTCCATTATTTCTGGTCTGGCGTCTCCTGCACAACCAGAATACAGTGGCTAACAATAAATTCCCAGGCATCGGTATAATGGATGAGAGATTTTATGCGGTCACCGTGCGTGCCGTTGCGCAACATCTTTCTTTACTGTTGGGATCTGTGGTGGCAATAATGCGTACATTGTGCAGCTGAGCCTGACACAATTAAATCCCCCTTTCTCTGGTCATGATCGAGCGGTGGAAAGAGTCACTGACAGGACTGTAACTTTTCATTCTCCCTACAATTTGTCACAACAGCCGACCTGGCTGGAGGGGATAAAACACCCATCAAATCCCATCTGACGACTCGATCGTTTTTTAACCGCACTCCGATCAATATTCCCTGATAGTCGATTCTTATTTTTAGCTTGATCCTACCGTGGTGAAAATTTTTTGATAGCAACATCGCGATGTCCATTCATGGAATTTAAGAAAAATTAACGTACATATATAGTAAGGCGGAAAGTACAGTAATAAAATCATTCATAAACCTGAAAAAATTTGTGTAGGAGTAATTGTCGCGTTTTTTTGACACAAAAAAGCTTTATGTATGCATAGAAAACTGATTTTTTTCACAAATTACCAGAGATTTCTTCAGAATAAATGGTAGGAACGTTAACTGAAATTTGGATAGAATTCGGCACGCATTGGTCGAATACAAGTGGATGATTATATGCCATTGCTCTACAATAATACTTGATAACCTTATACTGCATTGTTATAGGATCCACTACTATCCAGGCTAGTCATTCGACAGAGATTAGTTTTTAAACAAAATTCGGGATAATACGAGTACGTACAGCTATTAAGTGAAATCCATTTTTATTTTAAATAAAAAGTAGTTTTAATAATTAAACTTAAACTAAGTAATATAAAAATAATTGATTGCTGCATTAACAAGGGCTTACGGCGCCCGCTGAATAACAACCGGCTAAGTAACATCCAGCGGAAATCAATAAGCACTCCAGCCGCTGTTGACATAACCCACAAGTGAACGCACCTTGTGCTTCTTGCGTTTGACCACTTTGCTCTGATTGATGCGGCTGGTGAGGAGGAGACTGCCGGGGCCGTTGCCGCCGCCCCCGGAGGCCGACGGCAGCTCATTGGACCAGCCCTGGACGATGGCCAGACTGTTGCGGTGCGTCTCGTCATCCGGATGCGGGCTGATCTTCAGCAGGTGGCCGCTGATACGGCGCTTCAGTTCGCGCTTCTGCCGTTCCCGCTCCTCCGGGGTCATGGAGTAGCCGGCTTGGTCATCTTTCGGAAGGAGCGGCAGCCGGCGTTTACAACGGCGCTCTTCTTTGTTTAAACCTAACACATATATATAAATATACCGGTATGCTATTATTCATGTACGTGGTGCGCACTGAAGGAAAGCCAACGACACGCTTTGAAAAGATGTGTGGGAAATTAATATACGAAAAACATACAACAATAATAATTAAAATTAAAAGTGAGTGTAAAAACTTACCAGAACCTTTTTAATTTTTTTATTTCTTTTATTATACAGCCCAATTTTTGCCACTAACGACGTTGCAGCCGTAATTCTACGATTCCATGTGCTATACTATGCTCGTATAAAGAGTATGCGTAATGGTTGAGTTCACAGACAAAAAGCATTTACTGGTCGTCAAAGAGATCACTTTGTTTAAAAAAAATTCAAACAAAACAATAAAATATAAGCCGATAGTTTATAATTAACATTTCACATCCAAGCCTGTATTCCATTCACGATCACCCTCATGATAGCGAAAATAGACCGAACTCCAGAAAAATACATAGAAAGTTGGACTTCGCCGGAAAACGATTTCTAACTAACTTAATCTGTACCGGAAATTTCGGAACCAGACTTCAAATAAATATAAATGGCATTAATATTGATCAAAATAAACCATTCAGATAGGACAAAATATTGATTTTGGATTAAATCCAAATCGCATCTGGAATCTTCTGAGAAATCTTGCAAATGAAATGCCAAGACAAAACATTAACGCATAAAAAAATTAAAATTTGACATAAAAAAATAATAATTAAAAATGATATCAACCAACTATTAGCAAAAACATCATAAATTTATGCATGAAGTGTTTACGCGTACCTGTCATACTGGATGATGCCGGGAAGGTACAGCTGGTACTGGTCCCACTGAACATACTGCTCTGCGACACCGTATCGAAGTTATCCCCCATCGTCCCGTCCATCATCAGTGAATCCAGTTCCGATTCAATCTCCGACATGATCAGTTCATCCCGCGACGACTGATGGATCAATGGGCGTCGATGGCCGGGCGGGCCATGAACCGCCGCCGGCAGCGGTGTCTCCGCTTGACTGCTCTTCTCCAGTGTACTGTGGGGCGGGGCTGATTCGATGAAGTGTACGTGATTGCCACGGCTGATTGGTTCGGACCGGCTAGTGGGCGGCGGCATGGCGGGGTGGGGCTCGGTGTTGATGGTCTGGGTGGTGGACTCCACGGAGGTGCGGACGGGCGAGGGGAGGGTGGGGCGGGACTGTGGCGGTGGTTTCTTTGGAGGATCTGCACAAAACACCCGCTTATTATATGACAGGCTGCGAAAACTGGAAAGCGGGGATACTGTACTTAAAAATACGTAGTTATGTAATCCAGTATTAAGCGCCGTAAGCCGTGTATAAAAAGCAAATTTATTGTAGCGAAATCAATGCTGCAGATCGATTTGGCCGGTATGTACTCGCACATACAATGAGAGCATACAAAATTGAAAATCTTCAATAGTGACAGTAAGATATTGCTGGCTGTATTAAACACCTATACAGTGCAATGCCAAGAAAAAAATTAACGTTTTTGAATATGGTTGTGCGCCCTGTATGCGTAGCCATACCGATCTCGCGGTATAGTTCTATCACGTTTACGAGAATCCACTTCCTTGGTTTTCGCCATTGTAAAATTCTTTTGGAAATCAACAGTAAAACTGCTACGTTCGTCGTCCGCTCTGTTGACAGAGGCTGCCGACTTATTTTTAAAAGTTTTCCGGCTCGTCGTTGGTTTCGAGAAATTAATACTGTACACTGATATAAATCGTCCTATTTCAAAAAGAAAGAGCCATATGGATTTTGGATTGCGCTGAATCACCAAAAAAAGTTTGTTGACATTATTATTAATAATACTAACAAGTAACAAGTATGCTAGTTTCAGTCGACAGAACTGAATCATGAAGGCTTGTTACGTCGCCTCCATTACCGCATTGAGCCACACTACTACAACAAATCACCTGTTATCGAGAGGAATGACGTGCTCTCGAACGACGATTAAATAAACCCATTAATCTAACCACAGTAACTACACATTCTTTTTAGTGTCTTTAGTGTATAAAGAAGTAGCGGCAAAAAAATGTAAAACTGCCCGGACTCACCATTAGCCGGTCCGCTGCCCAGCTGCTTAACCGTCACCGTGGGCGGTACGATATTCGTCGCCACCTGCTTCCGCTCAATGGCCACCACGGCTTTCTGCACGGCACCCGCGGGCGGCCGACTCTCCCGGGGCTCCACCACGGCCTTCTTGGCTTCCCGCGGCATCTGCCGGAAGTTCTCCACGAAATGACTCCGTCGCAATCCGCCGGCCTCCTCCCCATTGCCCCCGCGGAAATCATTCCCACTGGTGCTCGTACTGCTCGACAGGGAATTGATCTCTGAACACGCCGCCTGGATTTGGGAACCATAATCGCTGGTCTCCTCTTCCTGGATTTCGTATAGGGAATCCTGGGAGGAGAATTGTTGGAGGTCCTCCAGATACGGCTCCGGGAGGACGGTCTCCTCGTCCGGCCAGCGCGTCATGATGGACGGCGGGGGCTGCGGGTTGGTGCGCTGCCAGAAGGAGTCATCCTGAAAGGTCAGGAGGTCACCGGCTCCTGGTGTAGTAGCGGGAACCCCTTGGGCGACGCCACCGTGTGGACGTCGTCGTTGGGATAGAATTCTCCGGGCTCCGGAGACGGCAGCTCCTCCCCGTCGTCTCCCGGGGACAGCGCCATGGGATCATCCGGGAGGCGGTGGAACAGCGACGGCTGGTAGGAATTCCCGTCCAGATTTTTCAGATCGAATTTGGGGTAGGCTTTCGTCGGAACATCGTCCCAGTCGCCCGGTGGGTACAGGTCGGGCGGGGGTTCGGGGAGGGTGTCGTCGTGCCCCGGAAGCATGTACTCGGGTTCGTCGTGGAACGAGGACGGGGAGGTGCGTACAGCTTCCGAGCAGACTTTGTTGTCGGCGGTGACCAGATGGGTCAGGGGCGCAATGTACACGGCCGGCGGGGTGTCCACCGGCCGCGGGGGGTCCGGTTCCCGGAGGTCGGAGGGTTCCCAGGGGATATCGGCACACTGAGCGCACATCCAAAAGGCTTTCTATGGAAACCAACTTTTTTATTTACAAATTAGTTTATCACGAAGTAAACGATGATACCTTGTTTTGGGAGTCCTTCTTGACCTTTCCGCATTTGGAGCACACGATTAAGGCGCAACGGGCGCACAGCTGGCCGATGAGCGGCTGGGGTTTCCCGTGGACGACCACGATCTTCAGGTCGGTCTCCTGGCAAATGGGGCATTTTTCCGATTGGGCGGAGGAGGTTTTGAGGGGCGCGATGGCCGCTGCGGTTGACGGTGGGGCACCGAAACTGTCGGCCGACATGAAGGAGTCCTGGGAGGTGATGGAGCCCTCCGATGATAACGAACGATCTTGCCTGTCTTGGCGGAAGGCGCGGGTTTTTATGTCCTGCACATCAGGTTTATTAGATAATATTAAGTACAGGCAATATGGTACTTTCAAGTTACAACTTTATAGCTAGTTGTCAAGCAAAAAACAAGATGGTCACCAAATCCATATGAAAGTAATAAGAAAGATGAAAAATAATGAAAATACTTGATAGTTAAATTTATTGATGTACTGCTTGTAACTTGACGATAGGACAGCGGCTTCCATACTGGCCAAGTTAGTAAACTGACGTTGCACTACGATTATGCACAATTTACTAACTGATGTTTTCCTCTGTGTTGAAATCAAGCGATCAAACATTTCGAGTTTGAGAGCAAATCATTTAATCAGTTCTTGGAGTTCGCGTGTTCGAAATCGTTCAAAATTAAAAAAAATATTTTTGTGCATGCTTAGTACACCGGCACAAAACTTATAGAAAACAGTATTCTTAAAAAATTAAAAGACTAAAAAATAAAAAATTTCATAGAGTAGGTGCGTAGATAAAGGATTATCGATGTGCTGCATGTTTATTCCTTATTATGCTAAAATATTTTTTAAATGCAAAAACATAAGGTCTAAAACGTCAAGTTCAAATAGACTTAAGACAAACGCGGCAAAAGAGATTACTCAGTCAGACCTATACAGAGCTGAATATGTTCAATAATTATTTTACCGATTATGCCGAATGTTGTCGCGTTACGTTAAATATCTAACCATAAGTAATGTAACCAACAGCTACCTTATCAAATGCATTTTGCTGCATTATGTGAGCAGTTCGTAGGCTGAAGTCAGCGGCCGCCGGTGGTCCACTTTGTACCGGCGGTACCGGGAGCATTCTGGCCGGTTGCACCGGCGCCACCGGTGTGGGTGCGGGCGGGGTGGTGACCTTTTCCGGCATCCGCAAACTCTGAAAGGGATCAGCCGGAACTGACTTTGCCGGTGCGGAGGCGGTTGTTGCCGGTATTGTATTGAAATTCCATCCGCTGATCGAAGCCGCCGCTCCACTCGATGCCGGCATAAAATTGTTAGCCGCCGACACTGGCGGGCGTTGTGACGTCATGGCAACCGGTTGGGTCGGCGCCGGAGACAATGGGATTTTAGCCAAAGCGGAAAATGCCGGTGGCCTAAGAAAAAGACCAAAATAAAATTTTATTTTTGACCCTTACAGCTAACTTGCCATTTATATACTGTACATAGGTAAGGACTATAGTTAAAACTTTTTATTTGTTAAAATCCGTTTAATTTTGTTCATATATTAAATTAATTATAGGAAATGGCTATAGGCACCCCCTTTCATCCCCGTTATCTATAGGCACCCCTTTTTGATTAACTAATTCCTGCACCCCGTCGCACACGAAAATAACACACGACCAAGCACGATAAAGTAGAACAAAGTGAAAGAACAAAAGAGGGAATGGTTAATCCTGTACTTAACGAAATCCGTAAGAAAGTTGCCGGAGCGTTTATTTATATCGTGATGTCCGATGCCCCAAAAAGCCCCAAACATCACCACCTTAGAAATGCAAGAAAACTTATCAACGCAACCAAATCATTATGAAGTCAGTCAGACCGGCACATTGTCGGAAGGAGTGCTACCTAGTACGTACGCGTTTTTATATGAATGACCTAGTCATGTCAGATCGTCAAAAAAATCTTTGTAAACCAAAAAAACTGTTAGAAAATCTTTGTCAGACTGCTGGGAAAAATGACTGCAAACAGGAAACAGGTGCCTATAGGCGGTATAGCCCACGGAAAAAATAGGTTGCGAGATTTATGTAATAGAAAAGGGGTGCCATAGTAAAACAGAGTGCAAAAGGGGGTGCCTATAGCAAACGGGGGTGAAAGGGGTGCCTATAGTCTCACCCTTAATTATAACAGAATATTGTTGTCTTTTTAATAAGTTAATCAGCAATAAGTTAATCGCTTATTTTTAATAAGTTAACCGGTATGTTAAATAATGTATAAAGCGCCGCAAGCACAATATACTTTTGTTGTACATTCGTATTACAGGCAAAAACCAGCAAAAAGTTTAATATTTTTTTAATAAAAAATACAGTCTATATTTTTACTGTAAAGTCAAATGGCTAATTGAGGTGTTTTTGGGAACACGATTGGGTACTTCCCATGACATAATGGGATGCCACCGCCCGTGCCAAAAAATATTAACAGTAAAATGCCACCACGGCGCGCGCGCTCGTGTCGAGTTCTTTCGTTCGTCAATTATTAAAATGACCTCTCAGAGGAAAAGTCATGGTAGTATTAAAAGCTTCTTTTGCATAATCCGCTTTGTGTCTGTCACGCACATGTATTCTAATCCATCACCAACCACCACCAGACGTGACCTGACAATCGATTCCCCTCCAAGGTCACCTTTGCCACTATTTAGTTTCAGCGCTGTTCACGAGTGATGCCGTAATTCCATTACCCTTCTACTATTCCGCCACTCGCGGCTTGTCAGGATACAATTTATACAACGTTTTTCTTCGTTAGCATCATATAGAAAACCTTTTTGCTGAAAGCCTTACTTTTATGGCCATTTTATGCTGCTGCATTAGAATACAACAATATTTAAAACAATATTCAAGCAATGGCCTAACGACTTATTCTAATATTTAAAAAAATAAGCTACTCTAGTAAAACTACGAAAACAATACGTAAATCATAATTAAACGGCTGTGAAGCTCTGCGTATAAATGTAAATACAGCGTTGTTTTTAGTTAAACATTAATCCATGTTATTTAGTTGGTTCTTGTTTTGTACGTCTTACTCATATGCGAGTCACTGTAACGAGCAAGTATAATTAAAAATAAATTTACAGATATTTTCGTGACATTTTCGGTGAATTACCGGCGTAAGTATGCCAGCCGAACCGCCATGACGTCACGCCCGAGAATACATAGAAGTATAATTGGCGTGATTAATTACAGTAAAGTAAAAATATTTTCCATTATGTATTTCCGGTGCGCAGCTGCACTGCCGTACCCATCGGCTGTTGCCGTAATAAACCGTCGACCAACGTGTATTGTGTAAAAATAAACTCTAATCAAACAAGTGTCAATTGAAGCGAAACCCTGCAATACGTCCGCAAGTGTATATATGGCGCGCGGTGTCAAGAGCCGGAGCGTTAATTAAAACATGTGAAGGACTTCTCCATGTACTGCCTTCAAGGGTCATCCTGCGTCATAACCGGCAAATTTGAAAACGGCCACAATTCAATAAACACGGCCCGAACCGCGACGGAAGACGTCTCCCGCGGGACAGTCAAGGACGCAATTGTTTCATTACAGTGGCTGGTGTCAGCAGTGCGGTGTTCGTGGTGTGTGGATAGGAAATAAGCTTTCATTATGCGGGCAACAAGCCCCAGTGGTTGCGCAAGTGCCTTTGACTTTCTGTACAATTGTTTGCCCTTTTATAAAGGACGCTTATGGAATTTCCCAATAAGTAACTACTGCAATCCTGGCTTACAGATTAAAATATGCCCAGTAAAGCCGGCTTTCGAGTGGGAACGTAAAATATATTATTTTCAAGCGCAAAAAATTTTAAAATAAAACTGACATAAATAACAGAATTTAAAAACATTAAAAATTTTAAAAAATATTTCTCACCCCCGAAGTTTGAAAAGCCTACCTACATATTTGGCATATATATTTTTGTGGGCAAAATACTTTTATTTTGTAAATTTAGCTCTCTACAAGTGCTGCTATAAAAATTATAATTTAAAAATTTATTTATCGCCCAGTCATTCCTCGGTTTTCCCGTCCAGTCTTTGTTGAACTGCATGACATACTGTATATTATTTTTATAAATTTAAATTTATTTTTATAAATTTGATTTTTTACAAGTATTTATCAAGTTTTGCATTTAAAAAAAATTTAGGTTGGCAGTTGTCTTATATGTTGTGTTAACCCGGTTACGCCAAGGGAGAAGCCGCGAAATTCGGCGTCATATCGCATTACTTGTCAGGAAGAAAAACCGTGTAATGCAGGAGCTGCGAAAAATCAATATGGTGCCTTGTCGAACAATTTAATGCCGTGATGCCTGAGCCGTGATGGTTGGCCGACGCCGAATGGGGAACAAGTTGGCTGCCACAAAGGAAGCACAACATGTCCGCACTTGACGCAACGCAACCGATCAAATGGACTCATCATGGCACCGATCGGTTCCGCATAGGAAATACCGCCATTATGTTGTGCAACATATATGTGCTTTTTTCTCCATATTGTAGAACCGGTTTTTACCGCGCTTTCTCGGGAAAAATGCGGTACGTAGTAAAAAAACATCCCGTATATATAAAAGCAATTAATTGATTGACCACACCTTACTTGTAAGCAGTATTGATTAAGAATACAGACATGTCTAAGTACTTCTGGAAATTATTGATTGAATAATTCGAATATCAGCCGGAAATCAAATGCCTCAAATATAAACCCGCGACTACGGTGCTTTAATATTTTACCTATATTATTACTAAAATAAGTTTCACCCGATAAATGTATGCTATGCGAGCAGTTATTATTTATTCTGTTAACTAATAAAAAAATTCTTTAACACCGGCAAATCTTGTTTGCCATAATTAAATGCAGTACGTCAAAAAAGTTAATTTTAATTAATATTGTATTTTTTCCCAATATGTACGAACAATATTTTTATGATTTGCCGATTCCTTTTAAATTTTAAAGTGTGTGAGTAACGAAAACCGCTGTTTTCGTGAGATAATTATTCACATGCAACAATTCCCTGAAAAGGAGAAAAAAACAGTAGTATATCTGGCTGCAGTGTCAGAAGGTCAACCAAGCGCACAACCGGCATGGTGCTCTATAAAAAGCCATTTTCAAAGGGGAAGTCAATGGATTTGCAATCATTTTGACGGCAGTGATTACAATCCTGGAAAGGCATTAAACTCCCATTATACCCGCTTTTATCCGCCACGGCGGGCGGTCTCTGCGCTAGCTGCTTCCCGGAAAATCAACAAGCACTGTGCATGTCGCGTCTTCCTGGATTTAAGTGTGTTCTACCCCGAAAAAATCATTTTGCGTTTTTATGACTGCGACAATAAAAAGGGAAATGATAGGAAATCGTCACCAGTATTTGCATGAACACATCACAATCGTTTTTACGATCGAGGCAATAATAAGATTCTTTCATTTTAGCGGTGAAATCGACATCTATCAGCTGCGAGGCTAATAAATTTTAGGAGTGCGACGCGGTGCCGATTTTATGAAGTTTTTTATTGAGTAAATCGTTGCTTTATCTATCCAAATTATAAAAATAAAAGGCTGTTTATTTTTTCGCAAAGCGTTAAATGCAAATTTATCCGTATATTTTATCCTAAAATGTTTGGAAGAAAATTAGTTTTGAACGAAATTTGTATTTGTTTGCTAACAATAAACAATGAATATAAAGAAATTTATTTTTTGGTAAATAATGTATCTTTAAAAAATCTGATTTTTCTTGTGGAATAACGAATACTAAAAAATCTGGTTCTTTCTGTAATAATGAATATATGAGTTAGGAATTTAGTTTCTTGTTAACAAATGTTTTAGAAAATTTTATGTTCGTGTTAGATATTGAATATTAAAAAAAATTTTAATCCCTTGTTAAATAATGAATATTAAAAATAATTCTAAAACATGAAAAAATGGGAACGTGTCAAAATGTTCTAGATAAGTCATCCCAAAATCCTTTTAATCAGAAAAACGAAACCACTGCGCAACAGCAACGGAGGGAAAAGAGCAGATGTCAGGGATTGTTGATTATATATGCCGACATATATGTACATTGACGGATGGGGAATATTTATTGAAGCGATAAGTAAATCGCCAATTGCAAGGTAAACACGTAGGTGGATAATTGAATTTCAGCCCCTTTTCCCTTTCCCCCGTAGCTGGGAAAAATAGGAGCCAACCGTTCGCCGCGTTGATCGATAGAAATTGTGTTTAGCGATACAGCGCGGCGCATCGATGCACGAACATCGCTCTACACGGATAAAACGTCTGGAGCGGCAATCGAGCCAGCTCCGTATAATACCCGGGCCATCCGTTCTGGCCGGCAATTTCAGCCATTTATTCAGGGATTAATGCTAATTCCCACTATATTAAAACGGAAGTTGTGTAACCAATGTGCGAGATATGGTAACACACAGTCAACCATTTCAAACATTATTGATTTAAATCGTTTAAATAGTACCACCATAATCCTCATTATTACAAATACGCTTTTAATTTCTTAGGCGTTTATTATTCTAAGTAAGGACACCCCAAGCGTGTAAGATATTCGTTATAACACAGTATATTACAATTTTCCCAAGCTATATATATTGATAAAAATCCAAAATACTCAGTTTTGGGAATATCAGTTCTGAATTTCTTTCGTCTAATTAATTTTAAGTGCGTTTCGAATTTTTTTACAAAACATTTACGGTTTTATAACGAATTCGGGGCTGCGAGTAAAATTTTCTAAAGTTATACCAGGTTAGCGCGCAAAAAAAGCCAAATCTGTATCAGAAAACTGTTTTCAAAACTTCTTTAAAAATTTCTAATTTTCGACCAGTTTTTTGCCGGTTAATTCGCTATAAAGCAAAATTTAGAAAATTGGGACTTGTTATAAAAAATTTGGCAAAAGTAAATATTTTTAAATATTTTCGGACCAGCACAATAACAGTAAACCTTTTCGGACCAGTGTTTTTTCTGCCGGTTAATTACCTTTAAAGCAGAAATCAGTAGAACTGAACTGGTTTTTAAAAAAAATCTGTAAAAATAAATATTTTTCGAACCAGTGTTTTTTTGCCGGTTAATTACCTAAACATGGGCGTGGCCGTTGGCGGATGTGGTTGCGGCGGGAGCGGCGCAGGTGGTGGTTCATCGGCGGCCATTTGGTTGGCGCGCTGCATGACGGCGGCAATTTGTCGTTTTTCCTCCTCCGTCAGACCGCTCATATCCACATCCCCCGCGCCCACCAGGGCTGCTGGCGGCGGCGGCGCAGCTGACACGGATGTGCGCCGGGATGCCGGCGCGCTGGCATTACTCACATTCGCATTCCCGGATCCTGCGGATGCATCCAGGCCAAAGAAATTCAGTACATGTACAGAGTAATACAATATATATACCGCCAACATCCATTAGTCTTTTTCACCCCGTGACAGTTGTGTACATAATTCATCCGTAAAGTACGGTTTCCGCTGGCAGCGTGTATGTAGGAATTACCAGGGATAATAACATGATTTATCTTAATTTGCCTTGATATCACCCTTAATCCAGACTTGATAAATTATCTTCCATTTTTCATGCATATCACTGAATCTTCTTAATTTCACCTAAAGCTTTGTTTTAATGTTTTATCGGTTTTATAATTAAATTTCGTCGGGTTAAATCTTCTACCCTGATCATTAGAATTACAAAAAAATTAAAACATAATTTTGAAAAATGCGGTAAAGGAAACAAATTAAAACCATTTTTAAAAAAAATAAAAAATGAAGCAAATTAGTTTTAAAACTACTAAAGCAGTATTAAGTAATTCTCAATGGCGCGCACTAATTTAATACGATATTTAATAAAAAAAAGAAATAAATGTGGTTATAAATGACATTTAATACTAATTTACATTTACTTAAATGATATTTGCCTAACCGGAAATAGAAATGTTAAATTGACATTTAATACGAATTTGCGTTTAATTAATTGGTATTTATATAACCGGAAATTATCCCGAGATGATTCACCTAAACAAAAATCCGTTGGAAATTCTGTTAATTAGGCGCACGCCTACTGACAAATGCGGAAATTAAGGATTTCGCACGACGCCTGCTCAGATTACCGCCCATCCTGTGATCCATGGGAAAAACACGGGATTACTTACGGAACAGCGGCTGTTGCGGGTGTTGTGGCGGTGGCGGGTGTGGCGGCATGGATAATCCGCTGAGCTGCTGTTTGCCCGCGTTGATCACGTTGTTGATATTGCTGGCGTTGACCATGTCCTGCAATCCGCCGAACAATCCACCGGCCGACAGACCCGGACCCTGTCCCGCCGGTTTCACGTTGTTCAGCCCGAATCCCGCCGTGGAGCCGCGGGATGGCGGTTGCGAAGGCGGAATATGTGGGCCTGTGCGGGGCGCGTTGAAATTTCCCACATTTTCCGGGTTCTCGGCGACACTAACAAAAAGACGCTTTTTTTGATAAAGAAACGCTTTTTTTACCCAAAAAACCAGTTACATTGGATATATTACAGGATTCTCGGCAGCATTAAAAAAAAACGTTTTTTTCCCAAAAACCCTTTTTATAAAAAAAACGCCTTGTTTAATCAGAAAAAGTTTATTTAATTGAAACACGATTTCTTTAAGCTTTTTGCACCAAAAGACCCTTTTTGGCAAAAAATTACCTATAATAGGTACATTACCGGGTTGTCGCCGACTTTAAGAAAAAGAAGCTTCTTTCTCAAACCCGTTTTTTTGCCAAAAAACGCTTCTTTGCGAAACGCTTTTATCTAAGGACGCTTCTTTAAAAAAAACAGTTATTTTGCGTAAGTTGCATCTTACGTAACAGATTGGTATACTCATTATACGAAAATTATTTGTTGACGTAACGGTGATGATTAAAAAAAGACTTCTTCGGGCTTCGGAACCTGGAATATGCCTACCGAATCAAAAGATATATATTGATTAATCAATTGACTTACGTGTTGAGGAAGTTGACAAATCGTCCAAACATAATTCCCCGCGTGTAAAGACAAAATGGGGTGTGAATCCGATTACGGCATGGCTGAAAAGAAGGCCACACTACGGCGACGCCACACTCAAGGCGAAATCAAGTTTGGCCCAGTCAAAATGTGAGGCAGAATATATACTCGTATATCCACGCTGTTGCTGTTCGCTCACAGCTGTGGTGTGTAACTGAGAAATACTCAATGCTTAAGCTTCCCTCCTTCAACGCCGTAGCACATGCGCCATAACAATGGGAAGGCAAACGATGCTGGCGATAACACGAGCGCCGGAGTGAGTGTTGTGCGGGATGTACGGAACATTTGCGGGATCAGGAAGAGAACGGGATAGAGGCAAACGCGCACATGCGGATGGATGGGATGTAATGCGGAACCGGCGCACGCGCGATCGATGGTGCGCGCCAGTTGTATCACTCGTATCAACGGGAACATGACGCATGTAGCAGTCAAGCGGAATCCACATCCCGAGGCACCGCGTGGCGCGTTCGGGTTATTGGTGACATATCCGTGCTGTCTTTACGCACTTGTATGACTGTGCACGGTAAATACGGTAGCTGGGTGAATATGTTTTACTGGAAAATGCAGTGGGTCAACCACCGCCAAAAACAACATTTTACTGTGAAAAAGACCGTGTATTTTACAGTAACTTTAATTCTTGGATTGGTACAAGTTTACAGGTTGACAAGCATCCTGTCTATACACTGTGCAATACTCGTACCGCGTAGTTTTTTGGATTAGACAGTTTACTGTTAATTTCCGCTATTCGTTAATTACTTAATATCATCCAGAATCACATTCCCGATTAAAACCATGACCTTAGCCGGCAATGGAATACCGGCCAAAGAGGTTGGGATAAAACAATAAATAACAACATTAGTAACGGTATGTAACGGCACAGTCAACTGCTGCAGCAGTGAATACTGTACACTCTGACAGTGGTAGCGCTCGCCGGTGCCTGTTGACACAATGTCGACACTACTACAAGTTAATCCCACATTTGCCTAGATCGGTTTACTTTAGTGACGGGCGCTGATGTAGACTACACTATCGAAAAAGGCCACAATGCGCGCTCAGTATAGCTGGGTCTAGTTGACCTTTCGCACATTGTCTAGTTGAACTGCTTCTGTACGTTTGTGGGTAATTCCGCTTATGTAAGTGTCAGTGAATACTGAACAGATAAGACGAGTAACTGGAATTCGTGCTGAAGCTAAAAAAAATACCTATCTGCCGGAAATTTGAGCAAACGGAAAAGTTTTCTTGCAAAATAACATGCAACCACAAGAACCCGAATGGCCAAAAGATTATCTTGGTTGGGACAACTAAATTCACTATTTTATAGCCTACAGACACGTTGTTTTGTTCGCACGTTTCGCAAAGCTTATTTGACCAGACAGAAAACCTGTCGCACCTTTTTCGGCTTTATTGTTACACAGATTATTCCAACTTCTTCAGTTTTCATAAAATTTGACACTGCAAATAATCACAGGCTATAAGCAAACAGTGAGAGTTACAGTTACATGTCCGCTCTTATCTTTGAAGTCCGATATGCAGATACATACTAACTTTTTTTAAAAAAGCACAGACATTGTACAGTTACGTGGTCCAGAGTACCAGGGTCAAAACCATGGAAATTATCAAGGTCAGCATGACCACGGAAATCGTATTCCCGGCATTGCAGTTGGCGCTTTTACAGATGCAGACGGTAGCGTTCTGTAGTCCAAACGACTGATACACCCGGCCAGGTACTACACCATGCATGTTAACGCTGAACTGGCAAGAATCACCTCCGGATGGTGGAGGCCCACTCAGGAGGAAGGTAACCAGCTCCGGGGTGCCACAGTCATAGATAGTGCCTGTGAAAACACTTTAGCACTAACAACGACAAACGCTGGGAGTTTACTAAGCATCGGTAAACAGGCTTATTGTTATCACAGCGTACCAATTCGCCGTTAGAAATTGGTTCTTTTGTCAAGACCGTTAATTAGGTGAACAAAAAGTTGGTTCAGCTAATTAATGCTGGTTTTGTACCTGAATGTTCTCCATAACCCCATTCTCCATTTGGATACGAATAATTCACCCTAAACGTTCCGTCGGTCTTTAAGCAGTATTCGGTACCGTTGGGGCATGCCGCGTCCCTGGTATGATGAGCGTCGGTGTCTGCCAGACTGCAACCGTGTATTGCCTTAGCGCTTCTCACGAATCCCTCATGACATTGATTGCAGTTGAGCGCCAATCCTGAAACAGTCACGTTAATGCTAGCTGTCTCTGATGAGGAAGTTGTCCTAGCCTCCCAATATGATCACCTGTGGAAACCAGCACGCCTGCCGCAAAGAGGATAAATACTGAGTTCCGGATCATGGTATTTCAATCAGGCGGTGGATTGAGAAGATGAACGAAGAAACACAGCGGTGTGTGAAGTTGCAGATTTTCAACAGATCATGCAAAAGTAATTTTTAAGTGGCCAAAATTAATGTTCACCACGGCATTTTTGTTACTGCACGTACGGCAGGACTGTATGAACACAGTAAATACCTAGTAGGCCTACCGTGTAAGAAAGCTACAGTGTGCGCTATTTGGTACCGCAATATTGCTACAATGGGTGTTGTCGATTCCACTCCGATCCATGCTCCATTAAGCTTTCGTTCTAATCTAATCAGTTTGTCATTGTTATCAGCAGTGTAATCAGGGATCACAACAGTGTTGAGGTTTAACGGCAGCATTTGCACTGATATGACTGCAAACCGTTGATCCGCATTTGTGTTTTTCTTTAAAAGCTTCGATCTTCCGAGTGTTTTTTAAGATGCTTCAAGATTTGCTTTTACATTGTAGAAGTGTATCGATTCGTTTTAATTAAAAGCTGACTGGAAATAGTCGGATATTTAAGCATTAAGATATGTATGTACTATGTAGCTGCTACAATGTTATACACACTATATATACAGGCCTTTTACAGGGTACAGCATGTACAAAGTACAGTCATAGGCTGAATTCAATTTGGTACATAATTCCGGTTCAGATTCAGAATCCGTCTCTGATCATTTAACGCCTGCATAGCGGTCTACCAATCAATCAATTAATTACCAAATGAGAATTTTATTCTCCTCTGTATCAACAACAAGACGCATTAGGCAGCGAGACAAAATTCTTACAATTAGTCAGCAGCAGCCATCGTTTCAGAACGCGCGTCATTCTTCTACTCTGAGTCTCTGACTGCGTATTACGTTATCGACCTACGTACTCGTCTTATTTTGACCGAGCGTTCAGTTTGACTGGGATACGTTCAGTCCATTACTGTAACTGCCCGTACGCTGACAGAATCATAGTGTGAGTTTTCTGGTAGACACTTTAATACGGTAAGGGAACTGAACTCTTAAAATAAACTACTACTCCTGCTGATTTTCGATCACGACCCCATCATGAATGCGACCCCGCTGTATTTTCGCCATTTATTCTCGGGCGCACGAGAGCTGAATGACGGGAACACAGTAATGGTACAGCGTGACACCGGCCAGTGGTGGTTGGGATACGTTCAGGATATTGACGGCGACCAGTTCTTTGTCAATTTCGATGCCGCCATAGTCAGCGCCCAGTGGATTCACGCGAGCTGTATATGGCCACACCATTACATCTACGATATCTTTGGACATCGAGGCTCCACTGTACAAGTTGCGCTGCGGTCTGCGTGTGGTGGGCCGATGGTTCTCCAACCCGGCACTGTAATTAAGGAGGTAGGCGATATGTTCTTTGTTGTACGCATGAATGATCACAGTCCAGCAGGGAAAAACCCACAGACTTCGAGCTGCCACATCGTGCACCGGAATCTGGTCGTTGAGGCATTACCAACGCTGGACGAAGATCAGAACTTCGGACAACCTAGCGGGTTTCTGTACAAAAAGCATATCATCAGGTTCCCCAGCGCGCATTTGTTGGCAGACGTGGATTTTATACCTATGTTTCTGGTACGCACATGCCAGCTAGCACCACGCGACGGGTATGATGAATGTTCTTCGAACTGTCGATTTTACGCTCGAACGGGAGTTTATTTGGATGAGATGGAGTTCACCTGTGAAGGACCGCACCAGAAGAATTATTTTATCGATGTGGGTGTTCGTGTATTTGCGCGATTGGATGTTGATACGGTGACCTTCGTCTGCGCGGAAATGCACGGTGACGCAGACGGTCGCAGTATGTTCTGGAGTGAAAATTCCCTAGAGGAAGCCTGCAATAACTATATAAGTTGGAATGCAGCGGGACACCATGTTGCCCTATGCGCGACGCCGTGGGATAGGAATGAACATGGTGAGCATGTGTTGTTGCGATTTCAGTGCTCACTGTTTTATAATAATTTTACCGGTTTTAGGCTGAGTGCGTACCTTAGCGGTCAGATACAAATGGTTGAATGTGATGATCCACCAACATTTACAATAGCAGATGTTTAACAATTGTTGTATAAAATCATGTAACGAACTTGTTTCTAATAAGGTCAACATCGCAGTATTCCGCGCAGGTATGGAAGAAAAAGCGATTAGTGACCTTCCGCATTCGATCTTGGCATGCATTCTGCTCAATCTGGATGTGGAGTCCCAGTTGCGCGCCAACAGGCAAGTCAGCCGTACATGACAGATTAATTAGCACATAAACCTTGTAAACTGGACCGACATTATAGGTTTTTGACAGTAGCCGGTGCCCAATGCTGCAATATAACAAAGCCAAAATTGCATTAATATGAGCAACAGTAGAAATTAAAGTTGATATATGAAGGAATAACGTATGCGCGAGACACCTGATGCAACACAGATAGTTAAGGTTACTGCGATATACAATACAAATATGTACCACGGTGTGTCGGTGACCAGTGCATTTCGGTTTCTAGAGTTTGCATGTTGTGGAGGCTACTTTCCCGCAGATATGCCACCAACCGTAACATCTTCTTCGACCTGTGCGCAACTTGCGATAGACAACCAAAGGATGACGAGTTAACATCTGAATACAGCCACTATCTCATGTACAGATTGGTAACCATGTTGGAAGGCATACATCCTCAAGACATCTATTCGATGACGCTAACGGAAGACCGACAGCATTTTCACTTCTTGACCGACCTCTTAACAAGACTGTGGTCGGTGGAAACAGTATTTGAAACCAGAGGTATTCGCCTCCCTTTGCTCGTAATAAAGAACGGCCGTGATTGCACGGAGGGAGCGTTTAGTTCATTTTTGGCTCCCCGTCGCAACCCACACAATAACGCTTTCGAGTGCATTTCGCTATCTGACTTGATGTCGGTGTGCGAGAAACTGGTGCTGATCGACTTTACAGCGACGGAAGGCATCGTGGGTGCGGCGGAACAAATACTGTGCTTTGATGCGGAATCAGCGCTGCCCATGTCAGAGAAAGAAAAGCTTAGACCCAAGGACCCTGTTGCTGAGCTTGACTTGATCATTCCGCTGTTGCGCTTTACCTCTCAAGAAACGCCGGCTGAACAGTGGCGAGTCTTTTTGGCAGCCGCAAACGCCAATTGTCCGGCAGTTAGTCAGCGCGCGGTGCAGAAGGTCAGGGCGATATATGCCCGCTGGGTGCAGACGCTAGTCTACCCGGATGAATGGACCGGCATCCGCATTTTCCTGCAGCTGTAAGTGCCCTTTCGTAATCATCAGATCAGGTGTTTTAACCCACGATTCGCTTATAGAATCGTACTTTACGAAACGCCGCTTCGCAGTGAAATGGAATAGCCTCAGGCTATCCTGTAAAGTTGTGGTCATTTAGTGCAAAGCGTTTTCGCTTATTTTTGATAGGAATTGTTCTGCGTTCATATCATAGGAATTGTTCTCCCTTTTGTTGCCGGTTTCAGGAACATAACATATATTTCACTCCCTTTAAATGCTGATTCGGATCTGACACTGGTTTGGATTTTCAGGTTCAACAGTTCGGGCCCTGGTGATATGCAACGCTGGGAGACTATGGATCTCCGTCAGCTGGATATTTCTGCTTTGACTAACGTTACCATTGCAGCCCTAGACGCATGCTTCAAAGCGTAAATCATTCATTCTTGAATACCGCGTGTTTCTTATTTCGCCTACTCGGGTTTTCTACCAGTTGTCACTGGTGTCAGTGTTTGAATCGATTTTAGGTCAAGTTAGGATAATTATTTGTTTGTTTGAAAGTTTGCGAAAACGAACGATTATTTTTATATTGCTGATGATGTTATGTTCATTTGAAGACTATTGTTTCAGCGGCATTGTTTTTGCAGTTTTCAGTTTGAGAAGATTTCTAAACTTAGTGGATTGACTTTCTTACTTTCTTCTGTTTTGTAAAATATCTAATCCCCTCCTGTCATTACTGGAGGCGTTCTTATTCTGTGGGAGGTAGGCAAGTAACTCAGTGTGTTCAGTCAACAGTGTGTTAACATCGCTGTCCGCAAGAGGCTCGGAAGTCCGATACAATCGTCGACAGCGGGCTTATTCACTGACCCTCTCAAAACAGCATAGAGATTATGGGCGGAAACATTTCACGTACTCAGTACTATGAATGCACAGCATCAGCAACGCAGATTTACCTTGCTAGTTTTACAGCAGCACTGGCTTCCGTTTAATTAACAAAAATAGCTACTGCACTAAATATCTTCGAATTCTACGAGTAGGGTATGAAATGAATTTCATACCGCAAACGAAACATTGACCAAGAACTGACGCAGTCTGAAGTACAAGGCACTTTAATAATTATTAAGCAATCCATATAAACTGTACTAAAATACAATATGCAAATAATAAAATTTCATCTAAAATCAAATCAAAGTAGTAATATGCGTTGTTTCCGGAGAAAATGAATGCATGCGAAGGCAGGTGTAAGTTATTAGTATTATCGCACTACAGTAGCTAGTGGGCATAATAATGGTGCATTACAAATAAGTACGAGTACACATTTTGATGGAGGCGCGGTTGCAGATAACGTTTTCAGCAAGAAATTATGAACGTCTATGAAAAAAGATACCATTCAGAAATCTGCACTGACAGTACTTTGTGGAAGATGGCATTTTGCGTTTCTGCCTTATGATTTATTATTATACACATGTACTCGAGCCGGCTCTTAGCTGCCACTGCCAGGAACCGGAAATGCAGACAGCTGACTCTGTTTTTTGCGAAGTTATTTCTCCGTTTGCATTAAGAGAAGAAATGTATGTATATTTAGCAGTCAGAGAGATACGGAGCGAACAGACGGGATTACGTCCCTGAAATTTTAACCGTCTCGCGCCTCTCGGCTGCCGTTATAAGCACCAGCCTTGGCGTGATGGCATGACATGATTAGGCCTGGAAAAATAGATGGTTCGTTGTAACGCTTACCATGTGTAAACAAGCGCAGCTTCTCGGTCTGCATTCAGTGCTGGTGGTTTAAGCGCAGCGGATGTGTTCTTGTTGCACACTGTTTGTTGATTTGGTTCAATTTCGCAGCACAGACTAACTTGGCATTTCACCCAGCTTCGCAGTTCGTTATTGTTAATCGGGTTAAATAAGGATAATGAATTTCACTACGGTGCAGCCAGCGGAATATGGCTGGGAGGCTGTCCACGGCATCGTTTGGCAG